GGGACATTGAAATTGCTCCCCACTGAGCGCAGCCAAATGAATGTTTTGATGCTAGAGATCAATCTCCTCACAAACAAAAGGAACAACATCGCAAAAGAATTAAAAAGTTACATTGTCAAGACCTGTACTAATGAAATTTTGCCATTTTTAATCAATCTGGAAGGGTTGCAATAAAATCTAGACCTACAAATGACATTTCGACATTTAAATTGGCAAAATAAAAAGAGAAATCATCAAAGTTATATATATATATATTTTTTATTTCGAGGCAAAACTCAAAAGCCATTCCTCGCTCGCCCTCTACACACAAAAACTAGGTACTGTATACGATCCAACCAGGAAGTTGATATCACCATATTCAAAATACTGGAATTTCTTGTACCTCATCCAGACTATCGATTAATGGTGAGATTATTATTCAAACATGTAAATGAATCTAAGTTATTTATTTCGTTGACTTTGTTTGTGGGGCTTTGTCTGAATTGGAAATGACGATTTAGGTGCAGCGAGTGAAACGCGAGAAAATTAAGCTTCCAATCCATGACCATGCATGTGGCCTCAGATGGTCGGTACTGGTAGCTACATGTAGGCGCGGGGCACACATAGGTGCATTACTATCCTGGTTAATATAAGCTGTGCTTTTGATTCTCAACATTTCAAACACCACTGTACAAAACTCGACTAATTTCACTCAAAATCAGTACTTTAGTGACGATTGATGACACCTAAATAGCAGTAAAATACATTTTTTTTTAACTTTCCGATGTTAGAAAGAATAATTTTATAATTCAAATTATCGTAAGTCCACTGTCAAACTTGCCGATCAGCCGCATCGGCATGATTGTGTGCCTCTGTGTGTTATGAGTGTATTGACTATCGATGTAACCAAATGCTGTCTATTAACACGTAGTGTAGTGCTAAACGTCAATACGCATCAGCATTGACTCTCTGTGCTTTGCTGGAGTGGGCGCGGGGGCAGTGCATTTTTTAATTCACTATTAGTATTGCATCGAGAGAAGCAAAAATATATGTATTCAATTATTACACAGTTCAAATACCATAATGGTCATTGTATTGTACATCAAAGCACAACAGCAATTTAATTAAGTATAAATGATGATTATATTAATAGAGCTAGAATCTGTATCCTGCATGTCTACTCTAGACAGCCACTATCAATCTGTTAATACTAGTAATCAGGCGCACCGGAAGCAGTTTGGGATGGGGGGAGGGAGGGGGGGGGGGGGGGGAGGCAAACATTCTAGGAGGCTCATTTCCCAGGGGCAGTGACGTAATGATAAAAAAATGTTTGCATCACCTCCAATCTTACACGTTACATGCAGGCCCAGCGGAACGTTTATCAAAGTGGGGTATTAATTATCAGGTAGAGAGTTCAGGGTTTTTAGGCATCACATTTGATCAGATAAGCATATTTAGATACATGTACCTTATTTGTGACCCTGGCAGGTCACTAATTGGCAGGGAATTCAGGGGGGCATTTCACAAAATTTGTCATCGGTGACAAATAACAGTTTTTGTTATAAGCTACTGAAATCTTTGCTTCTGATTGGTTATAAGCAGATTTGAAAAAAGGCTTTGTAAAACGGGCACCAGGGGGCAGAGCCCCCAGAAGCTCGGGTTTTTAGGTATTTACTTACGGTTAGATGAGCATCCAGGGGCCCTCTTTAAGGACATTGATGTGGTCCAGGGTGCAGAGCCCCCGGAAGCTCAGGGGTTTTAGGTATTTAATTACGGTCAGATGAGCATATTTTGATACCTCATTTATGACATTGGCAGGTCACTTATTTTGTTTCTCTCTCTTTCTTTCTTTTTCTCTGTAACATAATTTTTTCAAAAAGTGAGGGGGGCTCAAACCCCCAAGCCCAGCCGTTCTGCAGGCCCTGACATGAAGGTTTCTAAATAACCATATTTTGGGGGGAATTTCTAATTTTCCAACAAATGCATAAAAAGGTATGACTTACACAAAAAAAAATTGAGAAAAAATACAGAAAATCAGGGAAAAAAATTACTTCTCAAGCTTGCTTGCATGAAAATAACACTCTTTAATTTGTTTTGCTTTAAACTCTATGCAAACTTTTGTTGGGCTCTTTTATGACTTTCGGAGGATCTTTTTAGCATTTTGGGGCTATTTCGCCCGAGCCCCTGTGTATGTTTTTCACTGCAGAAAATCATGTCATTTCAGCAACATTTGTATATCACTGGTATCGAATAAGAAATAACCCCCCCCCCCCTAATCAGTACGCCAACGTTCAGGGGCTCATGTCTTCTTACCCCTAAAACAAAAAACACACGCTCTTTCCCATTCTCTCACAATATTTCCATGATATGCCCGTATCGCTATTATAAAAACCTTCATTGATAATTACAGTGTATATGTGGCATGCGCAATGTTTAGGAAATTTAATTCCTGTTAACTTTCCTTTTCTTTGAATGGAATTTTATATGTGATTTAATTAAGGTTTTTATTATTGTTATGTTCTTTTGGGTTATATTATACAAACCATCTTTACTCCTTGACTGATTTTTTTTTTGGAGGGGGGGGGGGGGGCCCCAAAAAAAAAGCAGTGAAGGAGCAAAAATGCGTTTTGCCCCCCCCCCCCACTTCCGGCGCCTATGCTACTAATAGTAGGCTAATAGGGAGGCCAATACCAAAGGCAAAAATCTTAATTACGCACTTCTCAATGAAGGGAGGCCAATACCGGCGTAAGGCTTCTACACTTACGATTTGTGCATCGTCCAAGTCAGTTTTTTTGCTAGATCTAAACATAGTAGAATTTTAACCAAAAGAATTATTAATTTAATGACATATAAAAGATATAAAAAAGAATACAATTATACATTCCAAAACGTAGGCCTACCTATAATCACGGATCTTGGGTCTTTCACCATCTTGATGATCTTGCAGATTTTGACAGGTTTGAATCCAATAATTGTTGTAGCAGAAGAACATGACCGACTATGACATGTTCCAGAGGGCGCGGTGGGTTGGTCACTAAAATCCTTCCCATTGGCAACAGGTAGACCCTAAAACTATGGAATCCAACTTCGGTCAAAGAACTTTTGATATTGATTAACATGTCAGATGTTGAACCCTCAAAGCTTTAGACAAGCGCCGGCAACATACTTTAAAAGTGATTTTTAGTGTCCTTCGGTCAACATCTAATGAAGTCATTTTCTTTGTGGTGGGCCTGCTCCCAATCAGGGGCGGCCAAGTGATTTCCGAAGTGGGGGGGGGGGGGGGGGGGGGCACCAAGAAAAAAGGGCACCTACAAAGGGAAATCTCAAAGCGAAATTATAAAATTAGATTGCATTATCAAGGATGATTTCAATATCTGTTTCACTTCATACACCATACAAGACATTGCTTAATCATCATGCTTTGCAGTTGAGTGTGATGGTCTGAAAAATTATTTGCGAGCAAGCGAAGCGAGCAAGGAAAAATTGAAATATTTGTAAGATCGCAGTGCAAAAAATTAGATCTTATAAAGAGGAAAAACCCGATCCTGATGGGGTAATAAGCACATTCTCATAACGGAAGACTGAAAAGTCCTTTGATATGTAACATAAGTATGTCATTATCATCTATAGATGCGTGCAAGCGGCCGAGCTCAGCGAGCAAGCTTTGGGAGAAATTGCTCTTAGTCGCTTGAAATTTGGGGCGTGTTTAATGATGAGAGGAAAAGGGGACACTTAGAAAAGGAGCATGTGCAAAGTACCAAGAGTAATTATCAGAGGTGAAAATGGGGCACTTCTTACACCCTCAAAACACGCACTCACCAGGGATGAAAAAAGTCAGTCATGAGAATAGGAAATGGGCATTTGTCAACGGAAAAGGGGCCCCCATCAGATTTTGATAGGGGCATTTATAGGAGGTGAAAAGGGGCATTTATGAAAAGGGGATAGGCCCCTTTGTAGAAAGGAAAAGGGGCACGTATCATTGTTAAAAGGGAAATTGTCAGAGGTGAAAAGAAGCAATTATCGCACCTGAAAAGGGGCAATGACCAGATATGAAAAGGGGCACTGATGTGAATGAAAAGGGGCTCTTATAATAAAGGAAAATGTGCATTAGTTGAAAGAAAATGGACACCGATCAGATTTTAAAGGGGCATTTATCCAAGGTTAAGGAGGCACTTATCTGAAGTGAAAAGGAGTAACTTATCGTACATGAAAAGGGGCCCGTATGAGAAGGGGAAGGGGCTCTTTCTTTTAATGGGGCACTTATTATTAGGAAATGGGGCACTTATTAGAAAGAAAAAGGGGTATTAGTTGAAAGAAAAGTGTCATTTACCAGAGAAGGGGCACTTATGAGAAGGGGAAGGGGCTCTTTTTAATGGGGCACTGATCATTAAGAAAAGGGGCATTTATTAGAAAGGAAAAGGGGCACACGTGAAAATATAAGGTGCGCTTATCCGAGTTAAAATGGGGGTAAATATTACAAAGGAAAAGGGGCACTTGTCAAAGTAAAGGAGGCACCTCTCAGATCTGTATAGGGCAATTATCAGAGGTGAAGGGGGCACTAATCAAAAGTGAAAAGAGGCACTTCTCGTACCTGAAAAGGCACTTATGAGAATGGAAAAAGGACACTTATTGCAAAGGAAAAAGGGAACTTGTCGAAGGAGAAGGGGCATGTCATCCTCTCCCATCACAGACTTGCATGAGTCAAGGGTCTTTAGTCACACACTTATTCAGCACCTCAATTCTAAGACAATCTCTATGTTTACCAAATACAATTAACCCCCCCCCCCCCATTAAGGACCTGTAGTCTCTGGCCCCCTGCCCTACGCCGTTTGGAAGAAATTGTTTAAGGCAATTGTTTATACATATTATGTAAACAAAGAAACTGTAACAAAAGTATAACAAAATTGTTGTTTTTTGTCCAAAATCTCATGCTTTTATAAGCCTGTTCGTGAATTGAAACTCTCAATGATCTTTTTTCCATCCGTTTTATGTACGTAATATAGATATTTCTGAATATTGTTTCAGGTATTGTTGCCTATGTCATCAGCATTTTCCGAGTACAACACTTCTGTTGAATGAGAAGGACATCTTACACAATGGATGAATGCTGCCTTCTCTATCTGCTCCTGATCCTCTTGATGACATCGGGTGACGTTGAAACCATTCCAGGTCCTAACACTGCAGAAAGGTATGCATATATATATATATATATACTTGCTTACTTTGAATCATCCGATCGGTTCATTGCATCCGGTCACCTGGTTGCCTTCAGGCGCGGATCAGGGATTTCTCATGGGAGGGGGCCCAATTTTTTTTTTCTCCTGAAAATTTGAAAATCGCGCCTGTGGAAAAGTCGCTCAGTTGGGGGGGGGGGGGGGGGGGGTAGTGAGCACATTTTTTTTTTGGCCCTCGAAAATTTGCACCCCCCCCCAAAAAAAAAAGCTAAAAATCACGTGTTTTTACACATTTTTTTCCCCAGGGTGGGAGGGGGGGCCCCCCTCCTGGATCCGCCACTGGTTGCCTTACACAACATTTTGTAAAACAAAAGTTGATGTAAAGATGCACGTTCAGGATGTGATCTTTTGTAGATTTGCCGTAGGGTTAACACAAAATGTTGGGTAAATTGGACCAGACCATTTGTAGATGAGAGGGGTTTATTTCACAAACATTACCCCTCAACATTTTGTGAATAAAGGGGCATGTTTGCACAAAGCCATCTTTTCAAGGAACATTTTGTTTTAGATACTGTTCCACACTTACATATTAAAACTGAATGAAAGAGCTCACAATTGCTTTTCATCTTTCCAAGAAATCAACCTTCTCTTAATATGTGACACTTTAAGTTATGCAATTACAAAATATACATATAGACTGCATGATACAGATAATAATCATGATGAAGATAATAATGAAAATAATAATAACAATAGTAGTACTAGTAGTAGTTATAGTTTTTGTAGTAGTAGTAGTAGCAGTAGTAGTAGTAGTAGTAGTAGTAGTAGTATTAGTAGTAGTAGTAGTGATATGACAATAATACAAATCATCGTCATTATTAGTATTAAATTTATATTAGTAGTAGTAATATTTTTCTTAGTGGTATAATTATTACCATCATCATTATTGTCTTTATTGCCACATTCTGCTTTTGGCCAGAACAATACCGCCCTCACCTGCAATTTGGGGCAATATGTTTCTTCAAATATTATCACAGGCAAAATTATTTTGATATCCCCAGGTTGTTATTTTGCACACGCTCAAGCACATGATACAAATTGTTGAGGGTCACATGATAGCTTGTCAGCCAATAGAATGCTCTCTAACTAATATCCTATTATACCCAATTGATTTATTATTCATTCTACAGTACTGTCAGTGAAATGGAGTTCCTGAAGCTGGCCCAGGAAATCGATCCGTCTTTCTACTACAATGTAGGGATATCTCTAGGGTTCTCCCATGCTCAGCTAAAGGCAATCCTGATTGAGAATTTGAATAACTTCAAAAATGCCTTTATGGATGTCTTTATGAAATGGAATGTCAAGCAGCAACCTACACACTCAAACAAACGACAGCTGTTGGCAGACAAACTACAAGAGATTGACTTGGGTGGTCTATCCAACAGATTACTCAATGGACCTCCAATTCCAAACAGCACAGGTAAACAGATACTAATTCATGCTACACCAGAAGCGTAGAAAACCATTCATGAAAGTGAAGTCAGTTTTTACCATTTAGATAGTGAGTGCTCTGTGTTTTATACATTTGCCACAGTTTGCAGAAGTGTGACAGTTTATCAGGCCCCATGCATCTTATTATCCCCTCGCCGACGAAGTCGGAGGGGATATAGAAACGCTGCCGTCCATCCTTCCGTGCATGCGTGCGTCCGTCCGTTCGTAACAAATTTGGTTTCCGATCGATAACTTCAGTAATGTTTGACGGATTTTAATGAAATTTGATATAAAGGTACGTAATATCAAAATACAGCCTAAGTTCGATTTCGGAGTATGTAGGTCAAAGGTCATAGCTCATTAAATATGCGAATCTGGTTTCTGATCCATAACTTTAGTATTGTTTGACGGATTTTAATGAAATTTGATATGAAGGATCATGGTATCAAAACACAGCCTAAGTTCGATTTCGGAGTAGGTAGGTCAAAGGTCATAGCTTATTAAATATGTGAATCTGGTTTCCATTCGATAACTTGAGTAATGTTTGACAAATTTTAATGAAATTTAATATGAAGGTACATGGTATCAAAATACATGTACAGCCTAAGTTCGATTTGTTAGCATATAGGTCAAAGATGAAAGGTCATAGCTCATTAAATATGCAAAAACACCTAATTATATATGTGAAAATGTGGTTAACTTCCTTGCCTAGTAATATATATAGTATAGTCCACTGGAGGTAATTTGTTCTGACGTATATAGTAGGCTTGAGTCGGTACGGTCGATCACACCGGGACCCGACCGTTGCCGTCGGGTCCCGGTTTCGTTTTTTGAGAACCGACGCTCCGAAAAAAATAACGAAATATGAAAGAAATTGCAGTTTTGCACACCACTAAAATCAATCCACCTTAAAACTTAAGTATGTAATGGTTACCATAATCATATTCTAGCTCATCCTGAATCAATCCGAACTGCTGATAAGTGATACAAATATGGGTTGCAAGGCAGTTCGCCCGGCCCATGGGGTTGTTGTTGCCAGCTGCTAGCTAGCTACTGTACTGGCCGGGTCTCTCGGCAGGATTAATAAATCAGGTTGAAAGAAACATTAATGTTTGAATAATAAAACGGCTTTCTAAAAAGTACTTCTTTATAACGTACCGATCGAATAATTTTTAAAAGACAAAAATATATATTTTTTCTTTGATTTTGAACACCGCATGCTTCTTTTAAAAGCTGAAAATTACTTGGTAATCACAAGAAGTTTCGATATGTTGCAAGGCAAGTTTAGACTAGTCTCGGAAAAATGCGCAGTGCTCCTCGTTAGCTGTAATGCGTGCCAGAACGAACCCAAACAAAGACGTGATCGTAACGAGAAAAAATCATTAAAAACTACGAGAGCACAATTGGAAAGACAACTACTCAAAATTATCGTAAGCAGATACATAACTTGGAGGAAGAAAACAATAGTTGTCCAAGAAAAGACACATAAATAGTGATATTTAAGGAGTTACTATAGGTACAATCATTATCGGAAGGGCCTGCTGCAATATCTGAATTACACGTGTTTAAATTGAACACGAGGCTATACGAGGCAAATACCGTCCTCTACGGTAAAAAGCAGTATAACAAAGGATTCGAGTATTTGCAGCAGGCTCCTTGCGATAAAAATGTACCCAGTTACTCCTCGATTATCACAATTTCTGTGACATTTCTTGGGCGATTATTGAATTCTTTGTCCAAGTTATCTATCTGATTATGGTAATTTTGAGCAGTAGTTGTCTTTCCAATTGTGCTCTCGTAGTTTTTAATGATTTTTTTCTCGTTACGATCACGTCTTTGTTTGGGTTCGTTCTGGCACGCATTACAGCTATTTACGAGGAGCACTGCGCATTTTTCTGAGACTAGTCTGAACTTGCCTTGCAACGGCTATCCGTATCGAAACTCTTGATTACCAAGTAATTTTCAGCTTTAAAAAAAAAAGCATGCGATGTTTAAAATAAGAGATATATATTTATTTTGTCTTTAAAATATTATATGATCGGTATATTGTACAGAAGAAATTTTTAGAAAGCCGTTTTATTATTATAACATTCATATTTTTTTACCAGATTTATTCAACCTGCATAAATCAAAATGGCGGCTCGAGTGTTGTCTTTTCATTTCTGCCCCAGTTTTTTTACTTTTAGAGGCACGAAAATGGCACTAAACATCGCCAATCATGGATGAAAATAATGTCAAATGGAATAATATACCGATCTGAGCCGAGGTATGCATGTGTTTATTAATTTGATTGATAAAAAAGGTCACTTTTAAGGGACAAACTGATGATATGCGCTTTTTATAGAGGCAAGTGACAAATCCTGCGAGCTGATTTCGGGACACCGGGTCCCGATCGGTACAAGGCCGTCGGGACCCGGTTTATGAAAATCCCGACATGACTCAGGCCTAGTATATAGGCTGTTTGTACCCTGTGAGGGGATGCTACGCTTTGCGTTGACTTGTTATAATTTACTTATACCCCATTCACAGTGGCCTCAAACACCGCGACAGCAGCGGGACTGTCCCGGTGTTGTCTTCAGTGTGAAGGCTCGGACCCGTTATAAACTATCGCGGGATAACACCGCCTCGCGATAACGCCGCGACAAACTATCGCTAGGTTCGCCTAGCTACAGCAGCGGGACAGTCCCGCTGCTGTCGCGGTGTTTACTCAGTGTGAAGGCTCTCCGCTATAACACCGCGACAAACACGTGTGATTTGTTTACTTACCTATCACTGACCTCTTTTCTCCAGCAATGGGGAACATAAAGTGAAATAGAAATAAAGTAACCAGTGGATTCAAATTGATTTTATTATTATGTAGATATTATAATTATCCAAATAAAAATATTTCACACTTCAAAAAATTAAAATATTCTGACTGGAAGCAATAAAAATGCTAGTTTTTTAAAAAGTAATATGATCGAGCTAGCTACATGAGGAAGAGTGTGTAAAGTACAGCTAGCGCGCGCAATTTCAAGCAATCGAAAACCCCGCGCTGAAGTATTTCCGGTCATATCGGGGTCACTCGCGGGTCATGAGCCATGCATACACGTGTTTGTTACGGAGGTAATAAAAATCACCCGCTGCAGCGTGAATGGGTACATGATATTTATCCCGCTGCTGCAGCGGGATAACTTTTCTACTGTGAATGCATTTGTAGCGGTGTTATGGCGGTGTGGCCGCTCCGCTACAACGCCGCTAAAAATTTCAAAACCACTGTGAATGGGGTACAATTCAACTTTGTTAATCCTAGATATTTCTGGACACCAATATATAGGGACACTGATTTTCCGTTTCAAAAAATGGCCTTTTCCGTTTCAGAAAATCTTGAATTCCGTTTCAGATGGGCTGAAAAATGGGAATTCCGTTTTGCCACAGACTTTGTACACATGAAAAAACTAAAATTCCGTTTACATAAGATTTTTATTTAAACATGAACTTGTAGGGCACAAAAGTTCTATTAAAGCCGCCACCTTTGACAAGCCACTGATAACCACTCAAAAACATACGGACGGGACTGGATAAACTTGATGCAAAATACTAGTGAAAATATAGACCCCTACGGGCCCTAGAGTCTAGGCTAGACCTACGAAAAATTATCAAATGTTTAGATTTACCAACTTCAAATTCGAACTTAGACTAGCAGACTAAAGTCAGCTGAATGTATCAGAACACGACATATTCTGGACGAAAATGCTGAGTAGAACCGACGTCAACGAAAACATTTTCAGTCTTGGCTGTCATGTCCGCGATCGATCGATTTTAGGCGCACATGCCAGCCCCTTTTTCGAACTGTACAACTGCGTGTGTACAATCTCGCCGCACGTAGCGCCCGCTACTGGCGTGTGTGTGCCTAGTATTACATTTAGGTAATACTAGGTGCCTAGCTGGCATAATTGGATCGTTTCGTTGCTATTTGTACCGTGTTTTACGTCATGATCCCTTTCGGTCCAGCGAAACAAAATGGCAGCGCCCGGTCTCCTAAGAATCTGACGAATATCGCTAAATATTCGGAATTATTAACCATGATTTGAGGCCCAATATTTTTAAATGCATAACGAGTCACAAAAATAGTGTAAGTTTTACGATTTTCTTCTTAAAAAATGAAAAGTTTTGGGGTAAAAGGGGTTTTCCGCGATTTTCCGTTCGAAATTGCATTTTCCGTTTCAAATGGTCAATTCCGTGAATTCCGTCCGTTTTCCGTGATCGCGGAAAATCAGTGTCCCTAAATATATAGTACAAGTACTTTGAGTGACAGCAGAATTCAATGTATGTCAGCTTTCTTTACATGCACACGTTCTACAAACAAATCATATTCTTTTGCGTCATTCCATTATGAGAACTAATGATAACTGTATTAATTATGCAACCGCCCTCTGAAGGTGGTGCTGGAGTTATATGTAGTAAGTTTCGGGGTTGTAAAGATCCATCCTGCGTTTTTCTTATTGCGATATCTCAAGAAATGAACTTCAAACTTGTTGATAGTATGTACATGTACCACCATAGGAAGGTAATCTTGATAAAATTTGGTTGTAAGTGGGTCATAGAGGTAAATTTTTGAAATTACAGATTTAGCCTCATGATATGTCAAGAACCATTTGAGGTATGAACTCCATACTTTGTGTTTTCTGCATCACCAAAGTGAGATGAAGAGGTTAGATTTTGGGATAAGTAGGTCAGGCCAAGGGCCATGGGGTCAAATTAAATTAATTTTTAGGGTTTTAGCCCCATTATTGCAATGTCTCAAGAAAGGTTTGAGCCATAAATTTCAAATTTGGTGTTGGAAAGCATCACCATATTGAGACAAACTGATTATATTTTGGGTTAAGAAGGTCAAAGGTCAGCAAAATGAAACAATTATCACCATATAAATAACTACTTAAGCTATTTTATCTGATTTTTAAAATTAAAAACTACTTATAGTATGCTTCACTATAGGGACACAAGTGATCAGATGTTGGATTGTCAGGTCAAAGTTCAAAGGTTGTAAAGATCAATCAATATCTAAATGTATGTACATGTATATATATATATATATATATATATATAAAGGCTTTTTGTTTTTATGTATTTTTTAGGAGGGCCATCAAGAATGCCAGAATCACAGACCAAACCTCCTTCAGCTGAATCTCTGACCAAACCACTTTCTCCTGAACTGGTTGAGGAATGTGCAAGGGATTTCAGGTTTAAGTACAGGTCAACTCTATGTAAGATCAGAGCTGATCCTCTCAAGCCTTCTTCTCATGTGGGTTTTGAAAAACTATACACAAGTCTTGTATTGTTAGAAGAGGATGGAACCAGCAAGCAAACAATAGATTATGACAATTTTATTGATCTCAAAGTCAATGGAGAGTTCCCCAAGAGGATCATGGTTCAGGGAGAGGCAGGGGCTGGAAAAACTACATTTTGTGCTAAGATAGCCTGGGATTGGATTGAAGGGAGGCATTACAGTCACTTTGTGTGGGTCTTGGTTGTTCCTCTACGTGAATTTAAGCAACACAATATTGGTGAGATTGCAAAGTCTTATCTGGCCCAAAACAATCAAGCAACGGTTTCTCAGATTACTGATTACATCCGGACAAATCCTGACAAGGTATTCATCGCATTCGATGGACTAGACGAAGTGCGTGGAGAAATCATGAAGACAAAATCTCACCAATCACAGCCAAGTGTCATCTCCTCAGAGGCATGTGGAAGCTCATCTGGGACAGGTGATATTGGACTTGTAGATATCCTTTGTTCAGATCAACTTGCCTCTTGCCCAGTCTTGGTGACCACTCGCCCATGGAGAGCAGTAGATATTAGAAGAGATGGTGATCTAATTAAGCCCTACTCGTTCATTCATGTTAATGGTTTCAGCAGAGAGAATTTGTCAGTATACATTCACAAATACTTCCCAAAGAATAGTGATAAAGCAAATCAGCTTATCCAGTTCACCAATGATAATGATGTCATATCTGAAAACATGGCCCACTATCCTATATATGTAGCCATGTTGTGTCTTATGTGGAAAGAACTTGATCAGCAAAAACTAAAGGAAATGAAATCACTGAAAACTTTTTCTCAAATATTCAAAGAAATGATTGCCTTTCTAAAAGAACATTATGCTCAGAAAGAGGTGAAGAAAATAGGCAGCCCCTCACTTCTTGCCTATCTGAAACAAATTGATGAGCTCCTTGGACCAATTGCCAAACAGGCTCTCACTGGTCTGCTAGAAAATACTTTGATTTTCAGTGAAGATGATTTCCAAATATGCCTAGAATCCAAGGACATTGCCTGTCGGGTCGGGATTTTGTCTCAGGAGGAGAGAATTACAGCTGACATAGATGCACATGAGAGGAATTCTCATGTGCAATTGCCAGTCTTCTTCCCTCACAAACTGTTTCAGGAGTACATGGCCGGAATCCATCTTGCTTTCCTGTATGAATCAGATCGCACTGAATTCAACAAACTGATTGAGCAAGTAGTGCTGCCTAGTAAGGAGGAGTTTAGGTATCTCCTGTACTTCACTGTGTCACAGAACAAAAGTATTGCAACCCATGTAATGATGTCTATGCTACAGGGAATAGACATGAATAGTGGGGCTTCAGACAAACAGATACATTTCATTGTTGATGTAGCCTTTGAGAGTCAGAACCCAGATGTAGCAGATTTGGTGAGGGACAGGGTTTCAACACAGGCAACGACGCTGATCATATCCAGAGGCATGAGGGCACACACTGTAGCTGGTTATGCATTCATTGAACCACATGTGGTAAGCTTAATTAATATTAAAACAACATTGGTTCATCCATTTGTGTACAAGTTCTTACTTTTACATCTTTTGCTATTTCTTTACAGGACAACAGTATAATTATGAAAGGCTTCCTCTCGACTATCACATGTGCTATTATCTGGCCCCTTTTACCAACCAATAATTTCTCTTCTTGTTAATATGTAACTACTATCATTGTATGAATTTTACTTCTGTATTGCTGTTTTTAAATAAACCAATTCAATGAGGTTTGAACAGTAATAATTTGGAAACTAGAACTGCAATCATACAACGATATCGTGCATTGATGCCTGTATTTCTATTTCTTTGGGCAGATAAATTAAGCAATTAGTATATACATGACATGCAGCAACTAGACGTCGTTAAGCATATATATGGTTTTCCATATATACTGTGGCCTATATGGCCTTGCATGCCAACATACTTGAACATGTTCGTGATGCATGTAGTTTGATACATTGTAATGCCGGAATTAAATGGCGTCAAAATTTGTTTTGAGTGAACATATACTGTGTATAGTATCATTTCAAAGAGCATTTCATTGCGGTCATTTTGACCCCATTGTCATCCATGCTAATGTACTACAAGCATATCACGCATTGTAATGTGATGCATAGCAAATTCAGCATTTTTTACAATAACCTTGTGATGATCAACGTCATGAAATTTTACCAAACTTGGCAGGCATTTGTCAAGTAAGTTGATAAACATGTCTGCCACATTTCATAGACCTAGCCACCTAGGTATAAAGTTTGGAAATTGAGCACATGTTGAAGTTATTTAGGAATTTTCCTGAAAAGTATGGTTTTTTAGAGCAATTTTTCGCAAAGACGGTCAATGGTAAGGTGAACAGTTAGTTCAGTGCACACAATGGGATGGTAAAGAATCTGCTTACAAAATCGAAATCTGAAAGGAATTAGGATAGAGAAGGGACCAAATTAGGAATATCGAGCACTGCGTGCAAAACAAACGTGACTTGGGTGGAAGAGGAATAAGAAAGAAAATTCAGAATGCGCAAATTTACGAGGCATTGACAAGGACATCAATGCAATTACATTGAAGCTATGTACTGGCACGTGCATATATATACATAGTGCATCTATAGTCTAAACCTTTTTAGATGAGATAACATTTGGGAAAGGGAACTTTATTAATAGTTTGCACATTATCATATCCCTTCCAAAAAATATCTCTTGCCTATAAAGTGAAATCCCAATTCTTGGTTTATAAATGTTTAAATGTTTGATATTCTTGGCCCTGTGTAATATTGGTGTTATTGATATTGCAACTCTTATTAAAACATACATATCGTCGCCTGGCTGGCAGAAGGGCGTTAGCTCGAATATAAGGTAAAAAATGAAGCATTAAGCAGAAGGGCGTTAGCACTTTATATTCGCCTCAAACTTTTATAAAACTGACTTATTTCCCTGAAAAAATTGTGGCCGTGTTTTACTATTACATTTCTATTAGTCTTTAAAGGTTTAAACCAATTTTCGAGACAGAAAGCAGTTTAAATATTAAAAACAAATCTTTAAATGCAAATAATTCAAAAGGTAGTTTTTGAGTCGCTCGCATGCTAACGTCCTTCTGCCAGCCGGCCGACGATATGTACAAATGTACATGATTATTGTAGATCAATTCATCCTATCTTCTGCTTCTCTCTCCCTTGGTAAGACTGAATACATGTGTGTGCTCATGCAGCGGGTATCAACATTTTACTTCTTTTCTCCTTTGCGAGCCTAGAGTTTTGTTCTGCATCCACCTTTTTAATTTAGCGATCGTGTTCATATTAACATTAATAAATGATTAAGGTATCAGGCACCAGATGGTGTGAGCTTAAATAATCTCATTTGAAACCTGTTTTAGTGTTCTTATACTGCTTTCAAACTGGATTCTACCTGAGTCACACCGATGGAAATACCGATTAAATTTTCCTTATGTAAACAAAGGTGAAACCGCAGTTTTCCCTGCTGTCGCTTTCATACTGCGGGTGAAATTCACTCGCTGTGGCGAGCCCTTGCCAGAAGTGAAGAATTATTGCGTAATTATTAAGGCCTCGCTTCATCTAGCTAGCATGCAGCATGCTTAACCATAAGTCAACAAACACAGCTGGTTGCGATAAAGCCCGCGTACACTGCGACCTTTTTAATCGGTTTTTCAATCAGTGTTTTCTCCCGACCGTATTCACAGTGGCTGTTTCATCGGTGTCACACCAAATCCGATAGAATGAACATTTTCCTGCTCTTGTGCAGGAGAATTTAATCGCCTATTTCTCTTCTTCTCATCGGCTATTTTATCAGCTTTTTCTCCTTTATAGCATTCATACTGGCTGTTTCATCGGATGCGTCCAGATGCATCCGATGAAAATTAGGCCAGTTTGAAAGGGGTATAAGAGTAGACTTATACTCTCATTTTTCAATACTATTTTCAATACATGTACATGTATAGGCATTTCAAACTGGCTGAAGTGGTAATGTCAATGCGATGTATTGCCGGACTACTTTTCCATCTGTTCGAACATATAAAATGACTTAGCTTTAATTTTCTAAAAACCATGGCTCATGAGGGTCTATTCCTTTCAAAGGGCCTATGATAATACTATCTTAAATATATTTTGAGTAGTGCCCCAAGGTAGAAGGAATTTAAGAGAAAAACAGAAATATGTAATATTTTTGTACACGGCCGCAAATGAGAGAGTTATCCAAGTCATCCGTCACAATCCACTGACCAAATATTTCAAACATTCATAACTTCCTTACTATTGTTACAATTAATTTCAAAATTTTGCCATTGTGTTTCTGTTATTTTTCTGCTTTCATATAAATCAACTTGTTACAAGAGTTGCATGGATTGCCCTTTAACCCTATCTTCCCCGGGGGGGGGGGGGGGGGGGGGGGGGGCTATAGAATCCTCCCTCAACATTTTTCGCGATAATTTTTTAATGCAAAAGAATCTTGTGCTGAAAATTTTTGACTCTTTTCTTTCGAGTCCTGCGCATCTTTTGAAATAGATTTTTCAATAATTAGACCTACCATTACAAAGTCACGTGACCTTTTGTCTTTACATGTCAGCTCGAAATTTTGTCATTTTCGTGATTTGTGTACAAACTATATGGAAATCTCATTTTTACCAAAAAAGAGATAAAACATTGATAATTTGGTCTTGTTTATAGTTAAGGCTTTTTTTGTTTGTTCAAATAGTTGAATTATAATTAGAAATGAAATAAAACAAACAAAAACAAACAATGAAATACATAAGAAATTATCAAAACAACAGATAATCTAACATAAGGAATAGCCTGGCTCTTCCAATTAAAAAATCCCAATATTTCAAATGGTCTAAAGAATATATGTTGTGAAAACTAATATTTAAATATGAAGAATATATAATTTATGGGTAAAATTGTCAATTGTATTACCTTATTTGCATAAATTACCATAAATATGCAAATATAATCTATACACTTCACTTGACATGCATGCAAATTTTCGCGGCAATCGACCAAGATCATAGGGGGATAGGGGGAGGGGCCTCAGAAGCCCCCCCCCCCCCGGGGTTATGAAGTTTCAAAATAGCCCGGGCTAGAAAGGGTTAAGGATTCTCTGTTTAGTACATGGTAAACTAAGATGAGATATTCCAACTGTCGCAAAAATAGGAATTTGATATGAAATGCCTTGGCAATAAATCTTTAGTCTTTACCCTTTAATTTATTTTATTTTCCCTCTTACTCTCTGTAGTTGTAGCAGCACATCTACGGCAACCGCTCCTGTAGGTTACACATGTATGCCTAACATCAAGTGAACGTCTATATACTGCATCCCATCAGTAATCACTTTGTCATTTTATCCAGGTTGAACTCTGTATTCAGAGAGAATGTGGACCTACCACGTCACTTGATGTGGCAGAGATGATATGCTCCATGCCATTCTTGAAGATTGTTTCTCTTGAAGATAATTTCCATCATTTTTTGTTTGCAACACTTGCAAGGAAAGGAAAAGAATCAAAGGTGAGCAGTTCACTCACAATTATGATGTATGTAGGAGTGTTTAATTTAATTTCATTCCATTACCATCTCTTCCCTTTTCTAATTTACACTTTATTTTTCTTTAATTCCTATAAATGTCTCATATGTGCCGGTTCTTTGAAAGAAGGATATATTAATGGTCTTTTCTTTAAGGCGGTAGCAGTGTTAACAAAAGCCTTTAAGTGTGCATACTAACAGTGGAAACCTAGAGGGTGGGCGGGGAGCACCATGTAACAGTTGTTTGCTTCTACAACTTGTATACTCTAACAGAAACCCACATGTAGGAAGATCACAACATACTTAAAGGGGAAGTCCACCCTGATATTAAGTTGGTTTTAATAAGAGTAAAAAAATTGGAGGAAAAAATTAGTGAAAGTTTGAGCAATTTCCGATTAAAGTTACAAAAGTTATAAATTTTTGATGTTGTCATCAGTGGAACACATAAATTTTCTTAGTTATTGATGATGGAATAGATTTGTTTCATACATGGGTTGCATAAAAACTTATTTGTTATAATTATATTTAGGATGATGATGTGATCTGAACTTCAAAGAGAAAATCACATTTCTAGAAAGTTCAGTTTTTGCCCTTTCGTATGACACCTCAATCAGGAAAATGAGCAAGGAATAGGAAAGTTTTGTTTGTTTAAAGTGATGCATTTCCATAATTTCATTAAACGAATTCGTTTCCACTGGCTGCCTGCCGTAGCAACAAACGGAATTGACAAAAGACTTAACTCTGTTTCGTTGAAGATCAGACAGACGAAAGACTTCATGCATGGCTGATTGTCAAAGCAAAATTCGTCCAAAATTCACCTTCGCGTATCTCCCTTCTTTTTTTTGACAGCACATACAAAATGATAATATTATTCTCCAAATAAATTTTCATTCAAATCTGTAAGGCATTTTTAAAGATATAGGCATTTTTCTGTTTCAGAGGTTGGTGAAAGAGGCTTGTTTTTTTTCCCTAGATAAGTCCGGGACTATATGAATATGCAAACAATAAACATTTTATTAGACTTTAGACTCCAGTCTCACTCTCTGCCCAGTTTACAAACAGGTTGGACCAAAGTGCATTAGTGGGCGAGAAGTCCTTTAGAATCGCGCGCGCACCAAATCAAGTCAGGGTCATTGGGTATGGTCACTGCTTGGACATGCGCTGTGAGGACATTGGAACCCAACGCGTGTGCTCGCTTTAATTTGATTTAAAAACTGTATTGCCTATCCTACATTTTGAGGCATAGTTGTTTGCCCAGACCCGTAATTAGACACATTACATAGGGATATGCACTAAAGTATTTCTAAACAACCTTATTTATGGAAGCAAGCTCTAATTGATATGTATTATTAGTACTTAGTACATTTACTATTAAAGATTTCAAGTTTTTTGTTTAACTATTCGTTAAAAAGAGAGAGAGAGGGAAATCACAAAATGGTACATTGGGTATAAATACACTATCCAGTCAACGCCCCCCCCCCCGAGTCATAATGAGTTGAATTAAGATCATTCCAAATCGTAGTGCTTTGAATTATTACTGTAATAAAACTGTCGGACTAAAATAAGGCTCATGACCCTCGTCATCTAGCAGTATACGAACAGCCTGAAACTAGTATTTTAATGATCTTATTTAAAGAAGACCACAAGATCAAAATAATACCATTTATCGAAGATTAAAAGTATACTCAAAATAGGTATTTCGCCAGAATTTAAGACTTTGGCAAGATCATAATATTTATTCTTGCAGCTCATAGTGTCAATGAGGAGTTCTACTCTACATTGAAAGCAAAGGCATCATCCATAAAGGTACATGTGTGTCCTAATGTAGATTTCATGGAGAGGGCCATTGATAGAAAGAAAGAGCAGTAATGATTTGTTATTTGTTAATTTTTTTAAAAGTTACTTGTCATTCGCTTGGTATGTTGGAATAGTCATGAAACATGGAATGAAAGCAAGCTACACTTTCCTGTATTAGATTTCATTCAAACATTACATTTTTAAAATGATGTCATCCTTGACTGAATAGTCCCTTCCTCTCTGTCTAAGTGTCACCTTTCCCCTTTCTTCTCTTACTCATTCCCACCTCTTCCCTTTCTTGTATTGCTCTTGTATGTTTGTGTGTGACTTTGGGTGTGTGCATACTGCATATACATGGTTGATACCTGCTGTTTTAAATGGTCGGTCTTGTTCCCCTTCTAAATATACATACCTTGTTTTATTCATTTGCAATTAATTTAATATTGTGTTTACCTTGATAGGTACCTCATTTACCAAGCACAAGTTGCTTCTTAAGGTCATGGCCTGTTGGTTATTTTGTATTTATAATTTGTAATTTTCTTTTCATGCCAAACTATGCATGTGAATATTCATTTGAAATTTTAATGTGTATAAGATTTACATTGTTTTGATCAGTAATTAATATCCAACCTTTCCAAGTTTGATTGATAGGAAAAATATGTCATAGTTTTTAAAAAGCCAATTTTGATAAAGGTTTTAATTTGATAAAAACTTTAGTGTCTTCTTTTCTCAATAGACAAGAATTAGATATGAAAATAAAATCTATTGATTCATTTTTGTTGAGAACGTGATTATGAATACAGTTATTTGATTAATGGAATTTGTGTGAAGTGTAAGAATACAGTCAGTAATTAATTAATAAAACATACTTGTATGCATGTATAGACGTGCTGTTGAACTATATTCACAAACAATGCAGGTCCAGACTCTCAGGCTTGATGATCTCATGTGTACCACACAAGCCTCATCACATCATCTAGTAGAAGCACTGTGTTCCATGCCAAACCTGACTGACCTAACACTTGGAAGGAATCTCACAGAGGAGTTCTACTCCATATTGAAAGCAAAGGCATCATCCATACAGGTATGTGTGTACTCATGCATATACATGTATGTTATTGAAAGGGCCATTGAAGAAGAAAAAGAGTGTTGTTGATAATATGATGCACATGTATATGAGTGTTTTTTATTCCAACACAACTTTTTTGTAAAGGCCATTCACTGAATATTAAGGAATAGTCATGAAATATGGAATGAAAGTAAACTACACTTGTGCTGATTCAGTTACAATTAAAGTGTGTGTAAGATTTACATTGTTTTCATCAATAATCAACGTCCAACCTTTTCAAAGTTTGATAGGGGGGGGGGCGGGCATTATGGCCCCCTCCAAGATTTTTCAAACTATTCGGGAACGTGTAAGGATGATGCACCGCTGCTTGGTGACTATATTCTTTCGAGTCTTGCGCATCTTTTGAAACAAATTTTTATGAAAAATCAGAGCTACCGTTACAAAGTCACATGACCTTTTGTCTTCGCATGTCAGCACAAAAATCGCTCATTTTCTCGATTTGTGTACAATACATATAGAAATATGATTTTTCCAAAATAGAGATAAAACATTGGTTAGTTGGTCTGTTAATAGTTTAGGTGTTTATTTTGGGGTCAAAATAGTTGAATTATAGTTTAATATATGAAATAAAGCAACAAAAACAATTAAAAAAATCATTTAAATCATCCTCTCCATAGAAACTTTAGTGTCTTCTTTTTCTCAATAAAGAACACACTGAAGTTTCTTTCTCAATATAATCGATTCATTTTCCTACCGGTATTTAGAATGTCATCGTGAATGCAACTATGTAATTTGTGTGAAATATAAAAATACAGTGAGAAATAAGTAAAAAAAAAAATGCATATGTTTATGCATAAAGAATTTGTGTAAAATGTAAGAATACAGTTAGAAATTCTTAAATAAAACATGCATGTATAAACGTGCTGCCTCATCATATTTACAAACATTGCAGGTCCAGACTCTCATGCTTGATGATCATATCCGGTTTCACACACAAGCCAAACATCACCTATTAGAAGCAGTGTGTTATATGCCAAACCTGACTGACCTAACACTTGGAAGGAATTTCACTGAGGAGTTTTACTCTGGATTGAAAGCAAAGGCGTCATCCATACAGGTATGTTTATACTTATGTATATGTAATTTTGAAAGGTCATTGAAGCAACAAAAAAAATGAGTAGTGTTGATAATATGATGTGGATGTATATGAATTTTTTTTAAAAATTCCAAACACACTTATATTTTCTAAAGGCCATTCACTGAATATTAAAGGTAATACAAAGTTTTGGGAATTTTCGAAAATTGGCTGGATAAAGATTCTTTACAATTTTGAAATATTTGGATGTTTTATAAGCACTAGAAAATCTAGCCCCTAAAACACTTCTGTTTTCAAGAAAAATGGAATATAAAAATTGACCGGTGCTCCCGGTAAATTTTGATAATCTTCATATAGCGACTACGGCCATACAATGGTAGCTGCGACCATGAAAATTGCAGAATATGTAGTTTTGATATATAATTTCCAAACGGGAATAGCCAATCTGTCAATTTTACTCAAGAAGCATTGTTTTGTAGCTAAATTAATAACTTGACCTTGAGAGGGAACTTTACAGCAAAAAGAGTTCATTATTTACAATTTCATCACTTTAGACTCAATTTTAACCGCGACAACGATCACTGAATATTGTAGGATCGCATATGTTTCCAATATGTTCATTTGAAACCAAATTCATGACCCCGTATCAAAACTTTGTAATACCTATAAGGAATAGTCATTGATTCAGTTGAACTTCAAGTGTGTATAAGATTTACATTTTTTTGTTTGTACTGAGCGAGGTGGGAAGAATCACCGGAAATTCGCTCAAAGATGTCGTCGAAGCTGTTCATGATGATAATCAATACTATCCAACCTTTTTCAAATTTGATTGATAGTAAAAATAATTCATATAATTTATTAAGAGCCAATTTTAATAAAGGCTTGAATTTACAAAACTAAACCGTAGCAACAAACCTCCTGACTTTATAGGGGGCCTTGTGCTCACGAAATCCAGAGTGATGACTATCTTAAATACATTAATGGCAAATGTATATTTATGGGAATCATTAATTTCAGTGTTTGTAGGAGTAGGATTTATCAAGACTAACAGGTTGGAAGCCCTATAAAGCCCTATACCGTGTGAGTAAAAAAAAAGTTTACACCTAGAAAATGGCTAATTATTTTAAAAATCATCTATGAACAGTAAATTATTATACATCTTATGAAAGAGTGTTTTATCCTAATTCATTTGGTACCTTTTTTTGTGTGGTATGTGTTCACGCTTGGATGAACACGTGGCATTGTTTGCGAGAGTGCAAAAATCAACTTGCGCCAAAGTGATGCCTTCAGTATGTATTATGTTGGGATTAGCAGAGTGAGAGAATGGATTGAATGTATCAAATGAAATGCATTAAATTGCATATGTTTTTTTGTAAAGGGCAAAGTCACACACACCCACACACACCCGCACAAATGTTCGTTGATATGTGTGACATGATTAATTTTGTTAGGGGTGTTATTTGGATATGCAAAGACCGAATTAATACCCAAATCCCAATTGTTTTATTCAAACATTACATAGGTAACTTTGGCACAATTCGATTTTTGCACTCTCGCAAAGAATGTCTCCTGTTCATCCAAGCGTGAACAAATACCACACAAAAATGGTACCAAATGATTTGGGATAACACACTCTTTCATAAGACATATAACAGTTTAATGTTCATCGATTATTGTTTTAATAATTAGCAATTTTCTAGGTGTAAACTTTTTTTTGACTCTGTATAGATTTTTTTTTAATTCACTCTTTCTAAATCATCCTCTCTATAGAAACTTTAGTGTGTTCTTTTTGTCACTTGACAAGAATTAGATTTGAAAATAAAATCTATTAGTTTTTTTTTAGCATTTGATTATGAATACAATTATGAAATTATTTGAATTGGTGTGAAATGTAAGAATACAGTCAGAAATTAGTAAATAAAACATATGCATGTATAGACGTGCTGCGTAACGATATTCACAAATAATGCAGGTCCAGACTCTCAAGGTTCATGATTCCCAGTATCCCTCACCTGCCTCATCACATCACCTAGCAGAAGCACTGTGTTCTATGCCAAACCTGACTGACCTAACACTTGAAATGTATCTCACTGAGGAGTTCTACTCTGTATTAAAAGCAAAGGCATTATCCATTCAGGTATGTGTGTACTAATTATTATTTAGTTTAAAGGGTCATTGAAGAAAAGAAAAAAAAGAGCATCAGTGATAAAATAATGCACATGTATATGAGTTGTTTAAAATTCCAAACATTCTTGTTTTTAAAGGCTATCCACCGAATATTAAGGAATAGTCATGAAACATGAAATGAAAGCAAGCTATGCATGTGCTGATTCAGTTGAAATTCAAGTTTGTTTAAGATTTACATTTGTTTGATCAATAATCAATATCCAACCTTTTTTAAGTTTGGTTGATATTAAAAATATTTCATATCATTTTTTAAGACCTAATTTCAATAAAGGCTTGAATTTACGAAACTGAACCATAGTAACAAACCTCTTGACTTGATTGTGCTCATGAAATCCTGATTCATGAAAACCTTTAATACATTAATAGCAAACTTATATTCATGGGTATTTTTAATTGCAGTGTTAAAGCAAACAAGTCGAAAGCCCTATATATATATAACTTTTGTAATCACTCTTTATACTAAATCTTTTTCTCAATAGACAAGAATTAAATTTGAAAATGAATTCTATTTGTTCATTTTTGTTGAGGGGTGGTTATGAATACAATTATGAAGTAATTGAATTTGTGTGAAATGTAAAAAAAACAGTCAGAAATTAGTAAATAAAACATATGCATGTATAGACGTGCTGCTTAACTATATTCACAAACAATGCAGGTCCAGACTCTCAAGCTCAAGCATATCCAGTACAGTCTCACACAAGCCTCAGCACCACACTTAGTAGAAGCACTGTGTTCTATGCCAAACCTGACTGACCTAACACTTAGAATGGATGATATTGAGGAGTTTTACTCTATATTGAAAGCAAAGGCGTCATCCATACAGGTATGTGTGTACTAATGTATATTTAATTTAAAGGGTCATTGAAGAAAAAAAAGGGTATGATGCACTTGTTTATGAGGTTTTTGTGCCTTCGTTACAAATTAGCCGGAGGCATTATTTTGTGGTGTTGTCCGTACGTCCGTAGGTCTGTACTTTAGTACGTCTGTACGTCCCGTTCTCGTAATCGCGTTATCTCAAGAACCGATGGATGGATTCCTGCCAAACTTAGGTCATGTATGTATCTTGCAGAGCCAATGAATTGATTAGATTTTGGGGTCAGGATGTCAAAGGTCCATGGCCACAGGGCACATTATATATGCATAAATATCTTGTGATCACATCATTAGAACTGATGGACAGAGATTACCATCAAATGCAGGACATGTATGTATCTTGCTGAGCCAATGAACTGATTAGATTTTGAGGTCTTGAGGTCAAAGGTCATGGGGCGCATTGTATATGCAAAAATAGCTTGTGATCGCATTATTATTAAAACCAATGGGTGGATTACCATCAATCTCAAGACATGTATGTATCTTGCATGGCCAATGAACTGATTAGATTTTAGGGTCATGTGGTGTATATGAAAAATAGTTTGTAATCACGATATTCTGAGAACCTGTTAATGGATTACAATTAAACTTGAGTTTGAAAATTTGCTTCTGTTTTGGTTTCTTAAATCTCTCCATGGAGGAGGCATAAAGTTCCATGTAGTTAATATTCCAAACACTGAATATTAAGGAATAGTCATGAAACAGGGAATGAAAGCAAACTAGGCATGCACTGATTCAGTTGAAATTCAAGTGTGTTTATAAGATTTACATTGTTTTGATCAATAATCAATATCCAACCTTTTCCAAGTTTGAATGATAGTAAAAATAAGTCATATAATTTTTTAAGAGCCAATTTTAATACAGTCTTGAATTTACCAAACAGACCATATCCACAAACCTCCTGACTGAGGGGTTCTTGTGCTCATGAAATCCAGAGTTATGAATATCTTGAATACATTAATGGCAAATGTATATTTATGGGTATTATTAATTTCAATGTTTGTTGGAGTAGGATTTATCAATGCAAACGGGTTGGAAGCCCTATACAGAATACATGTAGTGCTTTTTTAAAATTTACTCTTTCTAAATCATCCTCTCCATAGAAACTTTAATGTGTTCTTTTTGTCAATAGACAAGAATTAGATTTGAAAATAAAATCTATTCATTAAATTTTTGGGGGAATGTGATTATGAATACAATTATGAAATTAATTGAATTTGTGTGAAATGTTAGAAAACAGCCAGAAATTAGTAAATAAAACATATTCATGTTAATAGACTTGCTGCTTAACTATATTCACAAACAATGCAGGTCCAGACTCTCAAGCTTGAGAATATCCAGTACAGTCTCACACCAGCATCAGCACCACACTTAGTAGAAGCACTGTGTTCTATGCCAAACCTGACTGACCTAACACTTGGAATGGATTACACTGAGGAGTTCTACTCTATATTGAAAGCAAAGGCGTCATCCATACAGGTATGTGTGTACTAATGTATATGTAATTTAAAGGGTCATTGAAGAAAAAAAAGGGTATGATGCACTTGTTTATGAGGTTTTTGTGCCTTCGTTACAAATTAGCCGGAGGCATTATTTTGTGGTGTTGTCCGTACGTCCGTAGGTCTGTACTTTAGTACGTCTGTACGTCCCGTTCTCGTAATCGCGTTATCTCAAGAACCAATGGATTGATTCCTGCCAAACTTGGGTCATGTATGTATCTTGCAGAGCCAATGAATTGATTAGATTTTGGGGTCACGATGTCAAAGGTCCATGGACACAGGGCACATTATATATGCATAAATATCTTGTGATCACATCATTAGAACTGATGGACAGAGATTACCATCAAATGCAGGACATGTATGTATCTTGTTGAGCCAATGAACTGATTAGATTTTGAGGTCTTGAGGTCAAAGGTCATGGGACTCGTTGTATTTTTTTTAAATAGCTTGTGATCGCATTATTATTAAAACCAATGGGCGGATTACCATCAAACTCAAGACATGTATGTATCTTGCAAGGCCAATGAACTGATTAGATTTTAGGGTCATGTGGTGTATATGAGAAATAGTTTGTAATCACAATATTCTGAGAACCTGTTAATGGATTACAATTAAACTTGAGTTTGAAAATTTGCTTCTGTTTTGGTTTCTTAAATCTCTCCATGACGGAGGCATCAAGTTCCATGTAGTTAATATTCCAAACACTGAATATTAAGGAATAGTCATGAAACAGGGAATGAAAGCAAACTAGGCATGTGCCGATTCAGTTGAAATTCAAGTGTGTTTATAAGATTTACATTGTTTTGATCAATAATCAATATCCAACCTTTTCCAAGTTTGAATGATAGTAAAAATAAGTCATATAATTTTTTAAGAGCCAATTTTAATACAGTCTTGAATTTACCAAACAGACCATATCCACGAACCTCCTGACTGAGGGGTTCTTGTGCTCATGAAATCCAGAGTTATGAATATCTTAAATGCATTAATGGCAAATGTATATTTATGGGTATTATTAATTTCAGTGTTAGTTGGAGTAGGATTTATCAATGCAAACGGGTTGGAAGCCCTATACAGAATACATGTAGCGCTTTTTAAAAATTTACTTTTTCTAAATCATCCTCTCCATAGAAACTTTAATGTGTTCTTTTTGTCAATAGACAAGAATTAGATTTGAAAATAAAATCTATTCATTAAATTTTTTGGAGAATGTGATTATGAATACAATTATAAAATTAATTAAATTTTTGTGAAATGTAAGAAAACAGCCAGAAATTAGTAAATAAAACATATTCATGTTAATAGACTTGCTGCTTATCTATATTTACAAACAATGCAGGTCCAGACTCTCAAGCTTGAGAATATCCAGTACAGTCTCACACCAGCATCAGCACCACACTTAGTAGAAGCACTGTGTTCTATGCCAAACCTGACTGACCTAACACTTGGAATAAATTACACTGAGCACTTCTTCCCTGTATTGAAAGCAAAGGCGTCATCCATACAGGTATGTGTGTGTGTACTATTGTATATGTAATTTAAAGAGGTCATTGGAGAAGAAAAAAAGAGTATAAGTGATAATAGATGCTGCTTGTAAGTGTAGGCTTAATATGATATGATGCACATGTATTTGAGTTTTTTAAAATTCCAAACACACTTTTTTTTTAAAGGCCATTCAGTTACGGTCATATTAAGGAATAGTCATGAAACATGGAATGAAAGCAAGCTATGCAGGTGCTGATCAGTTGAAATTCAAGTGTGTTTAAGATTTACATTGTTTTGATCAATAATCAATATCCAACCTTTTCCAAGTTTGATTGATAGTAAAAAAAAAAATATTAAAAAAAGTCTTTTTAAGAGCCAATTTTGATAAAGGCTTGAATTTACCAAACTGAACCATAGCAACAAACCTCCTGACTTCGGGGTTTTGTGCTCATGAAATCCAGAGTTAGGATTAACTGTATTAAATACATTAAAGATGTAGTATATTTTGGGGTATTATTAATTTCAGTGTAATTCGGAGTAGGACTTATCAATGCAAACAGATTGGAAGCCCTATAAAGAATAGACATAAGATTTTTTTTTTAAATCACTCTTACTAAATTATCCTCTCCATCGAAAATTTAGTTTGTTCTCTTCCTCAATAGACGAGAATTCGATATGAAAATAAAATCTGCTTACCGGTATTCATTTTTTTTGAAAATGTGATTATGAAGGCAATTATGTAATTAATGGAATTTAGATGCTGCTTGTAAGTATTGGCTTGCATGGTGATGTAGATATACAGTAGGCTTGCGGGTGCACCATGTGACTCTCGGTAATCTTTCTTGAGGGTTTGTAGTCCTGTAAAGGACTGTTGGTATGGTCTTGAAAAAGACTGTTGGTTATCTTTCTTAGCTTATAGTTCTAAGGAGAACTATAGCGCTTGGAGAGGATGAGTGGCGGGAGTGGCTCGAAGTTTCGAACAGGTTGACTATCCGTCGTCAGGAGTGGAGAATAGCTGGCGTGCGTGAGCTTAAGTCACCGGGGGGCGGCGGACATCGGGAAAAAATACATGAACGTGTGGGCTTGAGTCATCAGGGGGTGGACATGGACGGTCTGCTCGTCTGTCTGCCTGACCGTCTGGGTTGGAGTCTCCGGGTCCCAAGTTTGACACAGTTCCTCCAACAAACTCCATTCGATACTTCACTCCCACAAAGACAAGCATCCAAACACCATGGGAATGTGGAAAAGTCTACATTGGTGAAACGCGGAGAAATCTGGAAACAAGACTCAAGGAGCACAGAACCAGCTTCAGACTCAGCGATTGGGACAACTCCGCCATCGTTAAACACGCCTAGCATCACGAACACATGCTTGAATGGGATAACAGTCAACTCATCTCCATAATGAAGCACTGGCATACCCGCCGAATCCGAGAAGCCATCGAAATTCACCGCCACACCACCGTGCCCCAAGACTCAGGATTATACATCAACAACATCTGGAAACCTCTCATCAACAAGTACCCGGTCACTCCTCCTCCACCACCACCTCCACCACCACCTTCACCACCCCCGCAGACACCCGTACATCAACCACTTCCACCCGCCAAACCTTCGAAGCAACCGCCAGCCTCACAGCTACAATGGAGACGGACGAGCAGACCATTTATGTCCGCTCCCCGATGACTCAAGCCCACACGGTCATGTATTTTTCCCCGACGTCCGCACCCCGGTGACTTAAGCTCACGCACGCCAGTTATTCTCCACTCCTGACGACGGATAGTCAACCTGTTCGAAACGTCAAGCCACTCCCGCCACTCATCCTCTCCAAGTATTATAGTTTTCCTTCGAACTATAAGCTAAGAAAGATAACCAACAGTCTTTTTCAAGACTATACCAACAGTCCTTTTCAGGACTTCAAACCCTCAAGAAAGATTACCGAGAGTCCTTTTCAGGACTCCTCAATTCTCCCTCTCTCTCACATCGTGCACCTGCAAGCCTACTGTATAATGGAATTTGTGTGAAATGTAAGAATATACAGTAGTGAGAATTAGTAAATAAAACATATGCATGTAAATATGTGCTGCTTAATTCACAAACAATGCAGGTCCAGACTCTCAAGCTTCATCAAGTCAAGTATGCCACACCAGCCTCATCACATCACTTTGCAGAAGCACTGTGTTCTATGCCAAACCTGACTGACCTAACACTGGACTTGGAATACACTGAGGAGTTCTACTCTGTATTGAAAGCAAAGGCGTCATCCATACAGGTATGTGTGTACTATTGTATATGTAACCTAAAGAGGTCATTGAAGATTGAAGAAGAAGAAAGTGTATTAGTGATGATATGATGCACATGTATATGAGTTTTTTAATATTCCAAACCCACTTTTATTTTTTAAGGGCCTTTCACTCAATATTAAGTAATAGGCATGAAACATGGAATGAAAGCAAGCTATGCATGTGCTGATTCAGTTGAAATTCAAGTGTGTTTAAGATTTACATTGTTTTAACCAATAATCAATATCCAACTTTTTCCAAGTTTGATTGATAGTAAAAATAAGTCATATCGTTTTTTAAGAGCCAATTTTGATAAAGGCTTGAATATACCAAACTGAATCATAGCAACAAACCTCCTGACTTAAGCTATGGTCACAAATCAGAGCAGCGACCGACCGATCAGAAGCCTGCTCGGTCGCTGCTGGAATTTAGGCATCGCCCAGCGATTAGGTCGGTGACCGTGCGGCGACCGCCCAGGCACCGAGCGTATTTTGGGCGGCGAGTGAAAAGTGAGCAGGCGCTGCCCAAAATTTAACTCCGCGCTAAAACTTCAGCGGCGACCGAGCGATGCTCTAAACACGAGCGGTGCCTGGGCGGCCGCCGCTCAGTGGCCGGGCAGCCGCCGGGCAGAATTGGTTAAAAACTCGCCGCTCGGCCGCCGAGCAGGCTACTTTTGGGTAATGTGACCATAGCATTAGAGCTTTTGTGCTCATGAAATCCAGAGTTAAGATTAACTTTAATACATTAATAGCAAATGTTTAATTATGGGTATTATTAATTTCAGTGTTATTCGGGGGAGGACTTATCAATGCAAACAGGTTGGAAGCCCTATAAAGAATAGATAAAGATTTTGTTTAAAATCACACTTACTTAATTATCCTCTCCATGTCAAATTTAGTTTGTTCTCTTCCTCAACAGACAAGAATTAGATATGAAAATAAAATCTATTTACCGGTACCGGTATTCATTTTTGTTGAAAATTTGATTATGAATACAATTATGTAATTAATGGAATTTGTGTGAAATGTAAGAATACAGTGAAAATTCAGTAACTAAAACATGCATGTAAATATGAACTGCTTAACTATATTCACAAACAATGCAGGTCCAGACTCTCAAGCTTCATCAAGTCCAGTATCCCTCACCAGCCTTAGCACATCACCTAGCAGAAGCACTGTGTTCTATGCCAAACCTGGCTGACCTAACACTTGACTTGAAACTCAACGAGGTGTTCATCTCTGTATTTAGAGCAAAGGTATCATCCATACAGGTATGTGTGTACTAATGAATATGTAGTTTAAACGGTCATTGAAGAAAAGTAAAAAAAGAGTTTTTAGTGATAATATGATGCACATGTTTATGAGTTTTATTAATTCCCATCATACTTTTATTTGTTAAAGGCCATTCACTTTGAATATTGGAACAGTCATGGTTCATGGAATAAAAGCAAACTACACATGTACTGATGCAGTTGAAATTCAAGTGTGTATAAGATTTACATTGTTCAACATCCAACCTTTTCCAAGTTTGATTGATAGTAAAAAATAATTCATATAATTTGTTAAGAGCCAATTTTAATAAAGGCTTGAATTTACAAAACTAAACCATAGCAACAAACCTCCTGACTTAGGGATCTTGTGCTCATGAAATCCCGAGTTATGAAAACCTTTAATACAATAATAGCACATGTATATTAATGGGTATCATTAATTTCAGTGTTAGTAGGAGTAGGACTTATCAATGCAAACAGGTTGGAAGCCCTATGAAGAATACATATATAATTCTTTTATAATCACTTTTACTATATCATCCTCTCCATCGAAACTTTGGTGTCTTCTTTTACTCAATAGACAAGAATTAGATTTTAAAATAAAATTGATTCATTCATTTTTGTTGAGAGGTGACAATGCATTCATTTATGTAATTAAATGGATTTTTGTGTGAAATGTAAGAATACAGTGAGAAATTAGTAAATCAAACATATGCATGTATAGACGTTCTGCTTAAAGGTAAAACAAAGTTTTGGTATTGGGTCATGAATTAGGTACAAATGAACATATTTGAAGCATAGGTGATTTTACAATAAATGATCGTTGTTGCCGTTGAAATTGAGTCTAAAGTGATGATATTGTAAATAATAAACTCTTTATGTTGTATAGATCTCTCTCAAGACTGATATTACTTTAGCTTTAAAACAATGTTTCTCGACTACAATTGACCGATTTGCTATATCAGAACTGCATATTCTGAGATTTTCATGGTCGCAGTTGCCATGGAATGGCCTTAGGCGATATTTGAAATATTTGAAATTTACAGGAAGCACTAGTAAATTTTGATCATTCAATTTCTCAAAATTAGATGTGTTTTAGGGGCTAAATTTTCTAGTGCTTATAATACATCCACAGGGGCCTCCAAATATATCAAAATTTTAAAGAATTATATCCATCCAATTTTCGAAATTTCCCAAAACTTTGCATTACCTTTAACTATATTCACAAACAATGCAGGTCCAGACTCTCAGGCTTTATGATTACCTGTATGAGTGTCCCACACAAGCCCCATCACATCATCTAGCAAAAGCAGTGTGTTCTTTGTCAAACCTGACTGACCTAAAACTTGACATGGATATCACTGAGGAGTTCTTCTCTGTATTGAAAGCAAAGGCATCATCCAACCAGGTATATGTGTACTAATATATATGTAATTTATAGGGTCATTGAAGAAGAAAAAAAAGCATTAGTGATATTATGATGCACATGTATATGAGTTTTTATGTTCCAAACACATTTTTTTTAAAGGCCATTCACCAAATATTAAGGAATAGTCATGAAACATTGAATGAAACTGAAAGCAAGCTACACATGTCCTGATTCAGTTGAAATTCAAGTGTGTATAAAATTTACATTGTTTTAATCAACAATCAACATCCAACATTTTCCAAGTTTGATTGGACCTACCGTTACTAAGTCACGTGACCTTTTATCTTTGCATGTCAGCCCGAAAATCACTCATTTTAGTGATTTGTGTACAAGACATGGAAATCTCTTCTTTTTTTAAAGAGAGAAAACATTCGTCATTTGGTCTTGTTTATAGTTAAGGTGCTTGTTTTGGGGTTTAAAATAGATGAATTATAGTTAGAAATAAAATTAAACAACAAATACATAAAAATACATAAGTTAAAAAACAACGAAATACATAAGAAATTATCAAAACATAAGATAACATAAGGAATAACCTGGCTCTTCCAATTTTTGTTGTTGTATTATAATCCCAAAAATGGTTGAAAGAATACATGTAGTGAAAACTAATGTTTAGATTTGAAGAATAAATGATTTATGGGTAAAAATGTGAATTTTATTACCGTATTTACATATATTACCATAAATATGCAAATGAATGAATTTTTTCATAAAAAAATTAAATGACTTTAGTAATCTATACACTTCATTTGATACCCATTCAAATTGTTGCGGCAATCGGCCGTTTAACAGCCAAGATAATGGGGGGGGGGGCCTAAGAAGCCCCTGTGAAGCCTAAGAAGCCTAAGAAGCCTAAGAAGCCCCCCCCCCCCCAGGCTTTACAGTTTCAAAATCACCCAGGCTATTGACCCGGGACCCAGTACACCTTGTCCACTTTGTTTTTACCTTCTGTAGATTGCCCCTTTTTATGCCTCCGTTACGAAGTATCCAGAGGCATTATTTTTTTGGGTTGTCCGTCCGTCCATACGTACGTCCGTACATCCCGTTCTCGTGATCACGTTATCTGAAGAACCGAGTGAAGGATTCCTGCCAAACTTTGGTCATGTATGTATCTTGCAGAGCCGATGAACTGATTAGATTTTGGGGTCACTAGGTCATAGGACTCATTATGTATGCAAAAATAGCTCGTGATCGCGTTATCTGAAGAACCGATTTATTGTTTCCTGCCAAACTTTGGTCATGTATGAATCTTGCAGAACAGATGAACTGATTAGATTTTGGGGTCACGAGGTCAAAGGTCAAAGGTCACAGGGCTCATTTTGTATGCAAAAACAGCTTGTGATCGCGTTATCTGAAGAACCGATTGATGGATTCCTGCCAAACTTTGGTCATGTATGTGACTTGCAGAGCCGATGAACTGAGTAGATTTTGGGGTCACGAGGTCAAAGGTCAAAGGTCACAGGGCTCATTATGTATGCAAAAACAGCTCGTGATCGCGTTATCTCAATAACAGATTGATGGATTCCTGCCAAACTTAGGTCATGTATGTTACTTGCAGAGCCGATAAACTGATTAGATTTTGGGGTCATGAGGTCAAGGTCAAAGGTCATGTGGCTCATTATGTATGCAAAAATAGCTTGTGATCGCATTATCTCAAGAACCGATTGATGGATTCATGCCAAGCTTAGGCCATGTATGTTACTTGCAGAGCTGATAAACTGATTAGATTTTGGGGTCATGAGGTTAAGGTCAAAGGTCATGTGGCTCATTATGTATGCAAAAATAGCTTGTGATCGCATTATCATTAGAACAGATTGATGGATTACTGCCAAACTTAGATCATGTATGTATCTTGCAGAGCCATGAACTGAGTAGATTCTTGGGTCATGAGGTCAAAAGTCAACGGTCATGTGCCCAATATGTATGCAAAAATAGCTTGTGAACGCATTCTCATTAGAACTGACTGACGGATTACTATTTAACTCGGGACATCTTGCAAAGCCAATGAACTGAGTAGATTTTAGGGTCATGAGGTCAAAGATCAAAGGGTCATATATGTATAAGAGAAATTGCTTGTAATCACGATATTCTGAGAACCTGTTAATGGATTACAATTGAACTTGAATTTGAAAAATTTCTTCTGTTTTAGTTTGTAAAATTGCTCTACGACGGAGGCATTTTTGACTGCGCGCAGTCGAAGTTCCCTCTAGTTTTGATAGTGCCCCCCTTCATTTTGAAGGATGCTCCTCCACTCCTATTTTATCTAATTATTTGAAAAGGTAAATTTGGATTCAAATTTATTCATTCCGCTTAAATCACAATTTAAGTTTATTTAATTAAAATAGTCCCTTCCGTTGGAGGGGAACCCCCTCCATACACCCCCTACCCCTCATGCTCTCTGTTCCCTCGTGGAAACCATTCTAAGCAAATGAAAAAATGGAAATAAAAAATTCCAAATTTTTCATCTAAGAAGACAAAATTTCACATCTATGTGGCAATGCAAGCACATGGACAGAAAAGGAAACAGTAAGCAAAGAATCATCCAAGGATGAAGTGATCAGATTTTGGGGTGAGACATGAAAAGTCAAGGGCTTCAGGGCCATGAAATTGTGAAAATGTCACAAATTATTGTCAGTGTAATATATAAACACTTTAAACCAATATTGGCTCAAGTACATATAGAATGACCTGATTAGATTTTGAGTGAAGAGATCAAAGGTGAATTATTAAAGGGTCATGAACTGTTACAAATCCCAGAAAGTACTCTTTTAGTCTAAAAATTAACAACAAATTAAGCAGTTTCAACCAGACAATGCTCAGGTATGTATGAGCATTAAAAGATTAAATGAAAATAGTTTAGGTTTGTGGGGTCAGATGTTAACCCTTACTGTACGAGGGGGGGGGGGGGCCTCCCAGGCCCCCCCCCCCCCCCCCAGTCAGGAGGTGCTCAAAATAGCCCAGTACAGTAAGGGTTAAAGGTCACAGGATCATTGAACATACATTTAGGGGGGGGGGTCATATCAGAGATGCAGTCACATTCATCTCGTTTATTCTGCATTGTGTACATCACATATAAAGGGTAAATGTCTATTTTGGCTGTACATAGTGCAGTCACTATTGATGCTGCACGATAAGCAATTTTTAAATACTATAAATTGAGTATAAAAAATGCACAAGATTCTAAGCTATTAATTTGGGACAGATTCTTGGAAATAAATTATTCTCAAACACATTACTTACAGGAAAGGAGGCAGCTTAATTCCAACCTCCTAAGCCCTTTTAGGGTTGAATCATGAAAGTAATGCTCCTCTGTTCTCTGATCCCCTAGTAGTATAAGAAAAATTATAAAGATTTGTCTAACACTACAGGTAGTTTTGGGTTTTTTTGTTTTTTACTTGATGTCGATACTACTGCTATATTGGATACTACTACTAGTACTACAATAGTAAAACTCCTCTTATTAATTTTACATTTTACATGAATTGCAGTGCAGATTAGATCAATTTCTTTTTGAAATTTGTTTAAATCTCTTGCTCAAATTTTTTCTTACTCTAGCTTTTTCCAATTCTCCATACTTTTTTTCTTCTACTTTTTTTTATTTTGTTTAAGGGATGTACATAACTGTTGCTCTTGAGTGTATATTCCCAAGAAAATTGATTATATGCCAGAACGAAATAGATCCACTTACTTGAAACTGATACAAGGTTTTTCAAGCAATGTTACTGTTATATGTTACAGGGTTGTTTTCCTCAAATCAGGAAGGGAAACTTCAGATTCAATGGAATTGCTCTAAACTTTGACACATTTCTTCACGCCCTCCCATGTTTGCAAAGGTCAGTACAGTTTATTTGATAACATTTCAAAAAATTCAGCATGCAATAAAGTGATAGGCCTACTGTTTACCTTATGCAAATACAATTTAAGATTTGTTGTCTAACTATGAAAATACAATTTAAGATTTGTTGTCTAACAGAACTAAATATTCAGTACAGCTTACTGAACAAATTCCTTACTGTAAAGTGGAATCATTCAACCTAAAATGTGTCAAATATGTATGTGTTCTTCTTTTTTTTTTTGGGGGGGGGGGTTGGAGACTTAAATCTCTTCTATTTCTTTTTTCTTCTTCATTCACTGATCAAAATGTTTCTTGAGACTATTACTTTCAATAAAACCAAATGGTAGTTGATTTTTTTATTTTCAATCTTTTTTTCTTTATAGATCAGCCGACTTGAGCAACTCAAACATTACACTACCACCATCAGACCACCCTCAACAGCAATCCATGGGTGATGTAAACTATCCAAAATGGACATTATCACCACCAGACAACCCTCAACGGCAATCAATGGGTGATGCACACTATCTAAGAAGGATATTGCCACCATCAGACCACCCTCAACAGCCACCCATGGGCAATGTACACTCTCCATAAGAAGGACATTACCACCATCAGACCACCCTCAACAGCCACCCATTGGTGATGTACACTATCCAAGAAGGACATTACCACCACCAGACCACCCTCTACAGCAACCCATTGGTGATGTACACTATCCAAGAAGGACATTACCACCATCAGACCACCCTCTACAGCAATTCATGGCTGATGTAAACTATCTAAGAAGGACATTACCATCACCAGACCACTCTCAACAGCAACCAATAGGTGATGTACACTGTCGAAGAAGGACATTACCACCATCAGACCATCCTGAAATTCCAGAGAAGCAAGCAAAGTAAGCAGTCTTGTTGCCATGGTATAGGTAGAGTAAGAAAGTGTCCCAGTGGTAACAATTAATCTTGACTTTGTGTATGTATGATACGGATACATTATGCCTGTGTATAAAAGGTGACAACACCAGGGACAAGTTTGTATAATGATAATAACGGTGGCTCGTGATATAGTGCACATGCCGTCATGCCATGACAGTTCTGGCGCTCAAATATTAATATTATTACCCTGGTCCTAGGCGGCGGCCAAATGTGTAGCGTTCGGCATATCGGGTGACCATTTGTGGAGAGTGGCAAATGTGGATTAATGCCTTGTCAAGGATGTTAGGGCATTAGACAATTCTATAGTGCATGTACCAAGTATATGTGTATTGTAGACTTACCATTTTGTTTTAGGTGATTTGCATGCAATGTATGAAATACCACTCAACTGGAGTTTTGAGTTTAAAGGGAGTGGATCGCCAGTTTCCATGTGCAGAAGGCCATAATTCGCTGACACCAGACTTGGTGGAAATACCATTAACGGGGGTACAAATTTGCACACAGCAAACCCATAGTCCAGTCAAGAATTACCCCCTAATCTCTCGGAGAGCTCGAGAGTCTTCGGGCAAATCAAAGCATTACATAAGGTCTAATGGTCATTAAAATCAAGGCTAACCCTGGTGATTGACAACACCTGTTATTGGGTAAACACCCGAACGGTGTCGAATTCCCCATGAGAGCTGACTACTCGGTGACTTTAAGTATGTAATATTCCAAATTGTCTTATCAAAATGTCACTGTATATGTCAATGTCATCGCACATGTACAATGCAAATTTAATTTAGTAGAATCTAAATTAATGTGTGAATTTGTTACCAGAAATAACCCAGATGTTAAAGGTAATACAAAGTTTTGGTATGGGGTCATGAATTTGGTTCAAATGAACATATTGGAAGCATATGCGATCCTACAATATTCAGTGATCGTTGTCGCGGTTGAAATTGAGTCTAAAGTTATGACATTGTAAATAATAAACTCATTATATTGTATAGCTTCCTCTCAAGGTCAAGATATTAATTAAGCTATACAACAATATTTCTTGACTAAAATCGACCGATTAGCTATTCCTGTTTGGAAATTATATATCACAACTACATAATCTGAGATTTTCATGGTCGCAGCTATCATCATACGGCTGTAGGTGCTATTTGAAATTTATCATAATTTACCGGGAGCATCAATAAATTTTCATATTAAATTATTCTTGAAAGCAGAAGTGTTTTAAGGGCTAAATTTTCTAGTGCTTATAATACATCCACAGGGGCATCCAAATATATACAAATTGTAAAGAATCACTATCAACCCAATTTTTCAAAATTTCCCAAAACTTTGTATTACCTTTAAGAGCCATATTGCTCTAGTTATCTTGTCAACCAAACTTGATAGAACTCAGTATGATAGTTGAGAACAAGCTTTGTCTGGTTAGGGTGTATACAGGTAGGCCTGAGTTATCATGGATTATTGTTTGTGAATTTAGAGCTAAATCCAGGTCTAGATTTTAAAATGAGGTTGAGGAAATTTTTCCTGAATTTTCTTTACATCATTCCAGTGTTTATGTAAATATGCTGCTATAATTGTATGATACATGTTCATGTTAATCGAATTCAGCACTGAATTGTAACATGTTTGTTTTGTCAATCTAATATGTCATGAGTTATCAGTGTAATATTTAATTTGAAATGGATTATTGTTGTACATGTTTAACTACATTCCCCAGTACTATATAACAAATCCATTTGAGGAAATATTTTCAGTTTTTTTTAACATCATTCCAGTGTACATGTAAATATGCTACTATATAATTGTACAATAAATGTTGATTCTAATATTGTATTCAGTACCGGATTTCAATAATTTTGATTATTCATATTCCAAGCTTTTCTTCGCATCATAATGATTATGATTATGAAATGGTATGATACATGTATATTTTGAACTTGTATGTTTGCCATACTTGCCTTGTAAATACGTTTTATATTTTAGTAAGTTTGTATTCCCGATTTTGGCTTTTAAGATACAAAAATAGATACCTAGTATAGTAAGTACTCCTATAAGCATTCCGTTACCTTGCCTTTTAATCACCATCCTCTTTTGATTAAGTAATGTCATTTTTGTAATCAACTCTGATTTTCATAATACAGGTAGACAATGCGAATCGCTCAGATCTGTGAGTTTATTCTGAATTTTGTCATGCAAAAGGATGATCGACAGGTCTTTCTATAGATGTATGTTGGATGATCATCAATTACTGAAATGAAGTTTGCAATGCCTTGGATATTTCAACATTTTGATGTACAAAGGAGACAAAAGGCTGTGCTAGTTGTGGTTTGGTGATGGTGTATTTATGACTATCATATTAGCTGAAATGGTGTCACATGACACTCAACATTTGTTATTTTTGCATGACCTCGCAATATAACAACCTTATTTTGCATATGTTATACGCGTGCAAAAGTGAATTAGACTGCGCACATCTCTTCTATTTCTTACCCATTGTTTGCATTGTCTCAACTGCATGCATCATCTTACGGTACTTGTTCGAAAATGATTTCTGATGTCATTTAAACTTCATCATAATTTAAACTGCATTACTGTACTTTGTCCTTATTTGCTTTCATTTCTCTGTAATTGATGCTGATAAGGATTGTACTTTACAATCTAGTAACTCTGAAACACTACTAACTAATGCTACCAGGAATCTGTTAAAACATCCAAGAAAAATAGCAAAAGCAGTTGATTTACCATCAATCGAAGATCAGTACCAGAATAATGTCCTTTCTAAAGAGAAACAGATAATGCAGGACCCCTCACATCCAATGAGTGAGAACTTTAACTTTAACAGATCAGGAATACACCTGAATGCACCACTAACTCAACGGGCATGTTTCTGACGATCCTTTGTCCCTGACTTTATCCATCTGTTAAAACTCCAAAGCAAGACGAGTTTTCACCATCCTCAAGTTAGCTTGTAAATGTACAACAGTGTACAGAATTGTCATCTCTTTCTCTCTCTCTCTCTCTCTCTTGTTCTCTACCTCCCCCCTCTCTCGTTTCCTGTCCCCGGCCCCCTCTCTCTCCCTTCCTTCCCTTCTTTCGAGTCTCGATCTCTACCCCCCCCCCCCCCCCTCTCTCTCTCTGTCTCTTTCTGTCTCTATCTCTTTCTGTCTCTATCTCTCTCTCTTCTCTCTCCTGCATCTTTGCTAAAATTCCTACTTGTGCACTTGCTTTGCCAATACCTAGATTTCATACATGTATCTAAATTATCAATCAATTAAGCCACAACTGTACTGGATTGTCTAGGCACGTTTGATGGCACTGAATGTGATATTTTGATAAATGATATTGCATAAGTAATAACATGCAGTAAGTAGGTAAGTAGCTACCAGTACTATAAATAACAATAATGATCATTGATCAGCTGATTTTGTTGATATAACCTTTCTGATGGAATTGATTGTAAGGATGATGATGTAACTCAAGTCCTTTGTATGTTATGTATGATTTTTTTTTCTCATTATGTGTATGTTTATATTGTATTACAGGAGTCTTGTATCAACCAGTAGAAATCAAATTTCCTGATATGGTTAATTAATGATATACTTATACTTATAATCATGAATTCTTGTGACATTAGTATAAGTTAAATAAAAAAAAGGAGATTTAAATATACCTTCTGTATCTCTGATCTCTTTGTCTGATATAGGAAGAGGATGAGAGAGAGAGGGGGTGGGGGAGATGAGAGAAACAGATACACATTTTAAGTTTATAAGGGAGTGAGCAAGAGCACAACAAATGGAGAGGAGCAGGAAAATGAGATGCTAGGAAAAAAAATGAGTGAGAGAAGAGACTTTTAAAGGAAGGGGGGAATAGTGAGAGGGAGAGAAATAGAGAGCAGAGGGAAGCACAAAGGAGATGGAGTGGGGCGAGAGAGAGCAATGTTGATGAAGAGAGATGCGAAGAAGGGTGATGAAGGACGAGCAGGTGGGGTGGGGGGGGGGGGGGGCAAAATGGAGAGAATTACCTGCATGTAGCAATGGGTGATAATAGGGATTGATAAATGAATGGTAAAGGGGGGGGGGGGAGAATGAGCAGGAGAAACAGTGGCTGGGTGATAAACGAGGTAAGAAACATTAATAATTATAGATAGACTGAGAGGGAAGGTAGTAGAGGAATTGAGTGAGAGGAGCAGAAATAAGGGAGATATACCGGGACAAAAATAAACAGAATATGGAGGGATAAGACATATGAGCTAGAGAGAGAGCGAAAGAGAAGACGATAATGATGATGAAGAGAGAATGGAAAGACTGAGAGGAAGAGAGAGAGAGAGAACAAAATAGAGATACCAGGAGAAATGAATGGAAATAGGAAGAGAGAGAGAGAGGGAAAGGAGAGAGAGAAAGAAAGAGAGAAAGAGAGAGTGAGAGTAAACATGAGAGAATGAATAGAATAAAAAGAGAATGGGGAAGAAGATAGGGGTCAGAGGGTAGGAGAGGGGGTTGAGGGGAAGAATAGACAGGGAAGAGGAGTGAAAGGAGAGATAAATAAAGTGGGAAAGGGAGAAAGAGAGCGAGAGAAAGATAGAAAGAGAATTAGATAGAGAGAAAGATATTGGCCAGTGTGCAGGAAGATGGGACCTGGGCCACTCTCTAAATTCATTATAACTAGACAAAAAAAACACACAATGAAACAAAGGGCACACTTCAATTCTTGTCTCTCTCCTTTACTTAAAAAAAATTCAAGTACATGTAACTGTATTTCTGATTCCTGTATAAGACAGACATAGATAACCACAGCATATGGAGATGCATGCCAACATTCAAATAATATCCATTTACACACATTGTAAGAAATACATTTTGAAGTATGAGAGTTTTAAAAAAAGTCATGCTGAACAGACGTGAAGGTATTATATTACTTCTGTGTTAGCAAACATTTGTAGAATAGACTTCAGAGATTGTGTTGCCCTTTTGCAAAGTTTTAAAACAAATAATCCCCCTCTATGTGTTACATAAAATATCCCTTTACAAACATACATACACAAATACATTTCCAAACATAGAGTTCACATCTTGTAAAAAAGGCAAGTCATGCTGAACAGACCTAAAAAGTATCATTATTTCTGTGTTTAATAGCAAACATTTTTTAAAAATAGACTTCAGAGGTTGTGTTGCCCTTTTGCACAGTTTTTTCAAACAGAAAATAGGCATGGATCAGCAGTACACTAACACAAAAGTGCATAATATCGTACAGTCAATGCTTACGCACTATTTTATGAGAGAAAAAAGTGTTCATGCCAAATATGTTTCAACTAGTGGAAACTCTCATACTTATAATAGAGATCAATCCTTCTGTTAAGATATAAAGGTTTTGTGGACAAACTTAGTCCTAGGTTCATGCGGAAATCCATGGGTAAGACATGACATTGTTACAGAACCAGTGTTTTGTTAAAGAATAGATCACAAATTGAACAATCGTTGTCCATAGCCAAATGATTTTGGTGACCCACCTGAAACAAATTCAAAGCATTCAATTATTCCACTTAAAGTCAGCTTCAGGTTTCTGTAAATTGTAATTTGAAGGGATTTCTTCAGTTGAATTTTGTTCTATACATGTATATCATTGCAATGTATTCAGACAATTCTGAATTTCTGTCCAGCAAAAGGGATTGTATACATGTATGCTTTGTAAACTATATATCAAATACATAGAAAGATGCATGTAAATAAATTTATACTATACATGGTAATGTATGAAGAAGTATATACATATTTACAGAGTATTGAGATGTATAGCTCAATATATTTAAAATGTCTCGAAAACAAGATACAGCATACATTTTAACAAACACAAACAAAAACACTGTCTGGTAAGAGCTGGAAGGGGGCTAATCTTGAGCTCTGGTATTGTGGCCACCGTACGTCGAGAGAAAGGCTATAATTCATTCTGGATCGTTTATCCTGCAGTAGATGGATTTTTTGAACCAGGAAAATAAAAACCACACAAAAACTTGCTGGAAATCATCTTCAATTAAAAACCACAACTTTCCTTTGCACATCGGACCTGTGACCTGTGTTGGGCACATGGTGTCGGGCCTACTTATACCTTGATTTCCTATAGGCTTCTGTACATTTTCTACCAAAATAGTTCGGCAAATGTCATTTATTTGTAATCTTGAACATTCAGTGTAAGTTTTGTTGTATTCTGTGAGAACTTATTTTCTATCATTACCAGAACTCAAGCTTTAATCTTTAACATGTTGTTAACACCCTTCTGGCTCTCAGCACGCAATACACACAATATTACACACGCATATTTGACATACATGCACAGTATATATTTAACAGATATAGACTATACTTTACATGTATAGTAGTACCCTTCATGTGTAAAAGCTGAATGAATACAGCTGCCTAATACATGTAGCTGCATTGCTCATGTCAAGTTTATTTTTACAAAATGCATACAGTAGATATATTTTCAATATTGTATGATAAAAATGAATATTTATCTATTCTTGTCCTTACATATTAAATATAGGAACTAAAGGAGGGAGTACCTATTCTTATAACGTTAAACTTTAATTTTGATGAAACAAATGTTTTGATTTTGCATAGAAAAAAATTAGGCTGCAAAGGATATTCTAGCTGAAAACATGGTAAACATTTGATATATAGATTTTAAAAAATAATGATAAATAAACAATAATTAATAATAGTAATTAGGCACTGCATCTCAATGTACATGATTTAGTGTTGACATTGAACAAGAGTTGCAAGGAAATGACATACAAACTTTTGACTTGTCTAGATGGATATTACAATGTGAACTAGCTTGATGACAATATAAAAGTCATCAAGGTGCATTTTCATGGATCATTACATAAAAATTTTAATTTGTTTCCAGTTGTCCAAATACATCTACGTTATATGCAATTACTGGTACCCACTTGTAATCTGAATGAGAGAAAGTAATGAAAGCAATTTTATATTCATCTCAGAGTCCTAAAGTCCTTGTGCAGATTACAACATGAGGGTTGGGCAGAACTAATGATTAATAAACAGAGTACACAGAACTCTTCTCAAGCAACATCCACACGTAACTTTGGCATTAAATATAATGGAAGACTAATAATATGTAGAGATTAGGCATTGGCCTTTCTTATGTGAAAAACACATTTTGTCACACCTTGATGTATTTAAAGATAAAGACCAGTTCTGGTCATGCGATTGCATTGTGAAAGAAACGTTGTGGAATCAATCAGAAAAGGTTGATCATCTAGCAAATAAGTATTGGTGTGTACTGCAAGGTTCTGGAATCATCAAAATGATAAGAAATTTGGCCCAGTCTTGGTAAATTTACAAGCACTGTACACAAAAAATGAATATGGGACTACCCTATATCTATCCAGGCCGGATAGATATGATAATTTACCAAATATATCAATTAGTAGGCGGTTTTCAGGCAAAATTTGTATCATTACGTATTAGTCACAACATATTCTTTCACATGATTGGTAATAATTTCATTTTTTGAGAGGGGGGTGTTTCCAAAACTGGTCTCTACCTTTAAAGATGACATTGAGTTCAAGGAGGGGCTAGAAAGAATGACACCAAGGCCAGAGTAGAGAGTACGCTGCAGGGGAACCTCTCACTTGCACCACCACACTTTTTACTTATTGGATATTAGAAGGACAGTTTCGCAGCCACACCCCGCACTCGGCACAAAAGCACCGCACAAAGTACAAAGATGCTCTCCGGTATTTAAGAGGCTGATACTCAACTGGAAGAAGAAGAAGATCAGTACTAAATGCTACAACCTGAGATACGACAAGAACCACAAACAAACAAACAAGCAAGCAGCACAAAACAAGTGAAGTTTACTTCCGATTTACCTCAAACCTGTTTCTCACTTTTTTCTGCTTTAGATCAACTTATGGTAATCATGGAATGAAACAAAATGAAATGAAAACGATAAATATTCAAATATCAGGAAAGATTTGTCTTTGTGATCTAACCACATGTGATTTTTACATGCACGTCTTAGGACAGACATACAATGTAAGACATATAAGAGACACAAATATACCAGTTATCAATGCTATAGAATATTTTCATATAAAACAAATACATCTAGATATATACAACCACAAGACAACATATAAAAAGCTAGTATTATATACATGTATGTACTCTATGATATAAATAATTTTCTTTGTATTTACAAGTACAATCAACTATCACACCAATTGATAGTTTATAATCTAACAGTTTTTTTAAAAATATGTTTGAATTGCATTGCCTTCATAATACACTATGGCCTACAGTGTATATGCATTGTAAGTGCGCCATCGACACCCCTTCATGCTTTAGCATTTGTTCCGTATAGCTAGTATATTCATAACCCACTTTCATAATTTCTTCTTTTACAATACTTTTTCTACAAGATTTCATTTTTTTTTTTAAATGTAACACTTCCTACTTTTCTGTTCATTGGTGAAAATTCCAATTTTCAGCCACAAAATAAGTTTCAAAACCAATATTTTTTAGAATTTTTCATCACAACCTGGCAATTTTTAAAACCTTTGATATCATCACTGCCTGTGTATAACCTTTTTTCAGATACAGGACTTTTATTATATAGAACAATGTAGCAATGAAAGGAAAATAGCTTTGTTGCCAATTTGACAAAGAATCAGTGATTAACTTAGCCCTTAAGTAATTTCTATCTTGGATTAGAAGAGGATCTGATTGTCTGATAGGTGGTCTAAATCATGCTAATTCATAGGTAAAACCTAAGGTGCAGCATACAGTATTGTCACTATTGTTATGAATCTGCCACAGAAAATATGATATATGAGAAATACATCATTTTCAAAATCAACAGATACTACACTATTTGGGTCAAACCTTCTCTGCAGCTCAATATAAAATAATAATATAGTGGTCAGTTCTTGTTTAGCACTCATGTCTGCCAGAATTTACACTCCCGGCGCTCCACATTATTACCAGCTTTAGCTTTACCAGCTTTAGCACGGCTGTCATTAGGCATTTTAGCATTTACCTCGCCTGGGTCTAGTGTGGCAGATGCAGATTAATGTCTTGCCAAAAGACATTTGTGCCGCCTCAAGACTTGTGCCGCGTGGGGACTTGAATCGCGAACCACGTGGTCCACAGTCCGGTGATGTACCCACTAGACCACGACACATCTGCAATCCTAAAATATCCTATGTGATATGTAAAAGATACTGTACTGTATGCTGGCAGAGCCTCAATATAAAGCACTATCTGCAGCATAATGTAAATCCTCTTTAATCCAGGCAACATGCCTGAAATCAGATCACAATGGTTTGTTGGTAGAACTATTTTACACGATGCGATTTTACAGATTCGCTTGATCTGAATCAAACACAACTCCACCAATCACAGTCTCCTATCTCTTATGAACATACACTGTAGTTGCGACTGCCATCAATCACAAATAAGTTGCAAAGTTGCAATTAATTGCAATTGTTTATAAGAAGAGGCCAGGGACTCTACGCAGAGGTGGCGAGCGAAGATTTAATCGTCGGTTACACTTCTTCTATGAAAATAAGGAAAAGACAGAGCTCCAGGCTGTTGGTTGAGGCGTAGTGGGACTAACTTCGTCACTACTGCCTTTGAAATACCATGAGAAACTGTAGAAGCACATCAAGTTCACTTCCCAAACCACACTGCACACATCTTTCAAAAGTTTTTACACCTATGCTGAGGTGGGGATCGAGTGAAGTGTTAATGATTGTTGGTTCCCAGGAATATCTTTCACAAGTCTTTGTCCAGAACTCTACGCTGAGATTGGGAGTGAGGCGTTAATAATGTGTGGCTCCGCCTCTTCCGTGATGATGGGTAACCGTGGGAAAGACTGGGTGCGTCGGGTGGGGCTCCGAGCCGGCGGCGGAGGAGGGGTGAAACCGTGGCCCGACGTCCCCGGGGAGTACAACCGTCTGTGATGGTGGGAATAACCCTGCAGAAAGGAGGAGAGGGAGGGAGAAGAAATTCAGATTTTTAATAAATATACATGTATCACATTTGACAAATGAAATATATAAGATGCATGGAATAGAAGAAGAGGCAGAGGAGTTTGTGTTCAATGTTTGACCATATTGCTGCCTTGACACTAAAGGGGCTTAATCATTATTATCATTTTTATTTTATTTGGCAATAAAGAAAATATATAAGAAATTGCATAAAGACAATTAAGCAAGTTGTTGTTGTTGTTGTTGTTGGGTTTTAAGGCTGACCAATCTAAAAAGATTATTTCTGCCTGGCTGTGCTGTTGTCTTTTTAGTTGTTCATCACTGATGATTAGATGGCGCTGTTTCTTTTCCTCTTCAGTGGGTATCATCAGAGCTGCCAACCTTTGGAAGTACAAATTAGTACTCAGCACCTCCAAAATTAGTATTTTACCATCAAAATTAGTATTTTTCAACCGGCCTTCCTTTCACCTATTAAAAACCTATTGATGTCGTAACGCAGTACATGTTGGCCGGGCCAGTAAAATTTCAGAAAAATGTGATACTGGTACGTCCGGTCAATTAAAATGTTTGCTCTTTCATTAAAATTTTAAAGAAAATTTTAAATCAAAGTTTTTGTTGGGGTTGTGGGGGTGTACTTGTACATGTTTCTATGCGATTTCAGGGTTTTTATGGGTATAATTTTTTTTTTTTTTTTTTTTTTTTTTGGGTGAAAAATCGTATTTTAAAAGGTGATATCGTATTATCGTATTCCACTCTTATTATCGTACTAAATAATGTACTGGTTGGCACCTCTGTATCATGTACTGTGCAGCTTCCGTTTATTCGATGGTGCGGGCAATAATTTAGGTGTCGACCATGAACAGGGTGCGAGTATTTTATTAATAATAGGGGTTAACTGTGCAGTGCTAAACTATACTTTCCCTTCCCTTCCTCTCCAAGAGAGTTAGTTATAACTCGTTAGCTATAATGATACATGTATGTATGTATCTACCTGTAGCAAGTATAGATTAAAGACAATACAACCACTGGAACGCCAGAGACAGAAAAAGTTAACCTAATACCTGAGGCAAAAAGCCTTATGTTCCATTTCCAGTAGTTTTAAACATAAACTACTTTTTACAAAAATATTTAATATACAAATTACAACCGATGTTATCTGAAAATTAATACAAATCCAAATCACCACAACATTTTTAATTTGAGAGAGAAAAATAAAGAATGTGAAACTAAGGAGAAAAGGAGGAGGTAAATAAAGATAGAGTTGTACAGTGTAATATAAAATGAAACAAAGTGAGAGATAGAGAGGAATAAACATACATCCAATATATTTTTTAAACTACTTCATATTCTATTATCAATATCATGCACAAAATTAATATACTGCAGCTCTGCTTGGGATAAAATCATTGTGTTTATATGGTTCAATAAAAAGAACATACCTGAGTGTTGGCTCAGTCAGTACAGCGTCCCCCCCCCCCCCCCTCAGGGAGGTCGTGGGTTTGAACCCCGGCCGCTTCATACCAAAAGACGTTAAAAGATGGGAGTTGTTGCTACCTTGTTTGGCGTTCAACAATAAGGGATAGAGCAATGTCAATCTGGCGCTGCTCAGTGGCTGCCGGGCTCAAGATCAATTGGGGAAAAAGAATTTCCGTTTCGGTTTAATAAAATTTGGAGTGGACTATTAGGCTATTATTATTATTATTATTATTATAACAATAAGTTTACGTAGTGCCACATTTTAGTTCTTTTTGACAATCTGAGAGCCACAATGAATGTTTTATTTTATACTCACATCACTATCCGATCCACTGGATATAAGTCTTTCTTCTGGCTCCTCCCGGTCAACAGGATGAAACACAACGAGTAGTGTTAAAATTGGCACTATGATTTTGAAGAACTGCAATGCAAGAAAAAATGTTTTAATTAATATACGTGTATCTGTTGAAAATAAACATTTACGTAGCATTGCATGCCCTGTAAATAAGGTTGTTAAATTCTTTAATTTCTATCCTTTGGTGCAACATGGCTTAATGTGATATATGTCAACGTGGAATTTGTAGGTACCTAAAACTTGGCTTGTGCAGGTTTGAACTTATAAGAATTATGAATGTCATGCCACAGTTCATTTTTCAATTATAGAAATTAATAATCTTTCATGTAGGACTACCTATTGTTGAAATACTCTTTTTTAAAGCCCATTTTGTTTTCAAAAGAGTGAATTTCTTTGAGAGTTTTTTTGCTCAAACATGTAGGGTTACTGTACATGTGTCTACGTTTGCAATTGCTATCTCAAATTTACAATCACGAACATGACGCTATCTGTTTGAGACCATTTTTTATCCATTGAGCCCCAGTATGAAGGAAAACCGTTTTGACTTTTGACTCGGGCCTCATCAAAATATTTGATAGTAACAATCAGTATTCACTTCAAGGTAATACAAAGTTTTGGTATGGGGTCATGAATTTGGTTCAAATGAACATATCATAGCGATTTTACAATATTTAATGATCGTTGTCGCGGTTGAAATCCGAGTCTAAAGTGATGAAATTGTATTTTTTCTAAAACCTCTTTATATTGTATAGCTCCCTCTCTAGGCTGCTATTACTGTAGCTTTAAAACAATGTTTCTTGACTACAATCGACCGATTTGCTATTCCCATTTGGAAATTATATTTCAGAGCTGCATATTCTGAGATTTTCATGGTCGCAGCTTACTATGGAATGGCCTAAGGTGCTATTTGAAATATTTGAAATTTACCGGGAGCACCGGTAAATTTTGATTAATTCTATTTCTCGAAAGCAGAAGTGTTGAGGGGCTAATTTTTTAGTGCTTATAATGCATCGACAGGGGCATCCAAATATATCGACATTTTAAAGAATTACTATCCATCCAATTTTGAAATTTCCCAAAACTTTGCATAATAAACAGCTTTAAAAAAAAGAACATGTGTGTGTGGAAAAGCTACTGTGTAAGCCAATATGTTTGCATCTATGTACTCACCATTAGGAGCAGATACACCACACTATATGATACATTGTTGTCGTTCTGTGTATGGAAGGTGCAGAGAAAAGGAATTGAAATAGGAAAACAAGAGGTAAGTCATTTATACAAAGATGGTGGAAACTCATTTGAATATAGATAGGGGAAACACTAGAGATGATGGACACTCATTTGTATACAGATGGGGGACACTTGTTTAATTATTTATATATATATATATTTACAATATTTTGAATGCCATTAAACATTATGACTGAATATATCTTGCACATGTGATATTATTTCTTTCTAATCAAGAAGAGAATTTTGCTTTGGAGGGGGAAATGTGTCACATTCTTATTGATTATACATGTACATCTACCTGAGAAAAATAGAAAAAGATTGTTATTTATGCATAATATTACTAAGAAGGGACCTACAATATGTATAATCAATATTAATTCATATTGATTATGATTATTATTATTAGATGGCTTAGTGGAAGAGAGGTGGTCTCTTAACCGAGAGGTCCTGGGTTCGAAACCAAGTTAATGCACTCATGTCCTTTGGGAAGGCTTTAATCATAAGTCCTTTGGAGAGGACTTAAAGCCATTAATCCCCTGGTTGGTTTACTTACAAGCATATACATGTTATGCTTTCTTAGCAGTCAGGTAAAACAATAACCAACCATCAATTATTCATAAAGCTGTTAAAATATAAGATTGCTTACATAAACATCGCTGCATCTTGTACGACCATCCATACCTGTAAGAAATAAACATAGAAACAGTAACAAAATTGTCACCGTTGACATCTTTGGTACTGACAGTAGAGCATTTAAGAGAAACCGTCTCAAAGTTATTCTCAATAATAGTGGATTTTTTAAAGAACCTTGGTTATTCCATTTGCATTCTGATTTGAAACGAAAAATTCAACTAAAATGTGCAGAAGGCTTGTTTGAATACGTTCTCTTATAATTGACTAAATCTTTCTATTAATGTATCTATTTTGGACGTCCACTTTACACATTACTCTTGCAGTTGTTTGTCTTATACTCACATGTAGTGGAAAAATAAATGAACTTATGAAATCACGGATGACATGACTGTAATCATCGCACTTATCCTACCACAATACATATTTCACATTGATAAATCATTGATTGATCATGCAGTCTATCAAAATCCTCATTAATTAGTGGAATTTATTTAAACATACAAAATCACAGTTTTAATTCCCGGGAAGAGAAAAAGAAAGAAAAAAAAGAGCACCAACGAACATATGCAGGTACATATATGGGACAAGCACCGTTATGGCATCACACGTATGAATAGAATGTACTTACTTCCTAACATAAAACTATCATAGATGAGTGTAGCAATAGATGACAGTTCAAAGGCAATGATAATACTGTCGGAAGAAAAAGAAAATGAAATAAGCAAGATTGATAAATATCATTAATCCATGACTTTAAAAAAAAAATTGACCGAGGTACTGTTTCATGGAGAAAAAAAAAGTTAAAAGCAGGGCATGACACTAAAAGGTATCCAGTACCCATTGGGCCCTAAATTCTAACTGTTGACCCTTAACATTTTAAAGTTTCAACAGGAGAGGGGAGGGAGAGGGCATGCATACAGACCCTAAAATGAATTTTATGAATTTCCTTTTTTTCATGAAATATCCAGGTCTGGAATTATATTTTAAAATTTCAATGACTTTTTCAATAATTCCACGACTGCAGAAAATAGAGCTCACATACCGGTAATAGTTGTCAGTACAGATTCACTGATGACCCATTAAAACAAGTTTATCTATCAATATCAAAACAGTGTTTCAATGGATGTTGGCAAACTTGTACTATTTATGGTTTCGTAAAACGATGCCCTGGGATATAAAACCATCCTATACATCATTGTTCTTGATCACATGCATGAACATGTATGTGTGTCTCTATGTGATATATGAACCAAAGTCACGCAACATGACTTGAGAGGTTTAATGTTCAAGGGTCTCAAATGACAGCAATCAAATATTTAGCTCCATGTACGGTGTATACACTCCTATAACCACTCTTTTAGCCACATATAAATGCACAGACAAGTCAATATTTCTGCAAACAGATATTTTAACATACAAATTCACCTCCATATATAATCGGAAGTGTAGCGTAGGTCAAATCTAATTCAATAATCAATGTTAAGTGCCCAGTTAATATTAGTTCATTCACCTGTTACCAATAATTGTATTTCAATAATCATAAGGGGAATGGCATACATTACATGTTGTTACGTAGGACAAGCTATAATGTTGTCCTCACTAGCAACTATTAATGTACACGTATGCAATTCAAATTCTGATTATAATACAAGTATTCGTAAAATGTGAATTCAATAATTTGTAACAAGGCACTTTAATACAAATATTTGTGCATTAAATTTGATTACATAACGAAAACGGTCTATTTACAAGTAGAAGAAATTTACCTCCATATATTTCTCTTTTGCATTCTTTTTTGGCTTCGCAGCATGGTGACATTGTTCAGTTTCTTTGTGATGTAGATACCGCATACCATGAACATCTGGACCAGAACACATTCTACAGCAGAGAACATCACCCAATATGGATCTACAAAGGGAAGAAGAAAAAGAAACAGTTAGTTGGTGCACTGTGGTGTAATGGCGAAGACTCTTGATACTGGAATGAGAGGTCCTTGGTTCATTCACTACGCTGTGCTTGCATCCTTGGAGAAGGCATTTTACCCATGTTTGTGCCTCTCAACCCAGGGAGGTGTTTCATAAAGACTATGATCGACGTTAAGTCGAACTTAACTATGGCAGACCATTAATGCCACTGGTTACTCTCACTATTGGCCTCTTAATTGTGATCTTTAGGTAATATTTTTTCCTACAATAATGAATTATCAAAAAATGTAAATTCTGTAGATTTGTGACCATGATTTGTACGTCCCTTGAGAGACCAATGCCAGTAAATGGTGTGAGAAAATTGTGGCACTAATGGCCTGCCATAGTTAAGTCCAACTTAAAGTTGATCTTAGTCTTTGTGAAACACCCCCCTCCCCCAGGTGTATCAAAGATACACAGGAGTTGGCTCTCATGGGGAATTCGATACCATTTGGATGTTTAACCCAAAACATGTGTTGTCAACCATCAGCATTAGTCTTCAGTTTTATAACCAATGGGCCTTATGTAATCCATTGTATTTTCCACCCATCCCCCTTATGGTTAACTCATAAATTTACATTTCCCTCACCCAAAGACTCTCCAAGAGACTAGGGGGTATGTCTTGATGGGACTATGGGTTTGCTGTGTGCAAGACTTGTACACCCATTAATGGTATTTCCACTAAGTCTGGTGTCAGCAAATTATGACCTGCTACAAATGGAAACTGACGACCATCTCCCATTAAAAGTGTACCTGTCAATTTTGGGATAATATGAAATTCAAGGTTCTTTTGAGGAAGAACCAAGGCTTGCCGGGGTAAATAAGATCATTATCAAATAAATAAAACCATAGACAGTCGGAAATGATTTGAATGAAATCCCAAGAGCAAGCAAAGTTGAAATACCTTTTCATAGCTTTGTCGGAGCCCAATTTCTGAAGTGGTCTTTGCAGACAGGTTATAACTGTATTTTAAGACCAACTTTGACACGGGATGGACTGATCTCTTGAAAAAATAACACCCAGGATGGTGACTAACAAGAAGTAGGCACCAAACAGGACTAGCACTGGTACTTATAGAACCTGTCTAGAAAGGTAACCTATCAACAGAGGCCACTTTTGCTTCTTGCATGGCCTTTCTGTACAGGTTTTTAACTTTATTTTGGACCGACCTTGGCAGGTAATTGATTGATGTCTTGAAACGATAATACCAGGGTGGTGACAGTTAGGAAATAGGCAGCAACCAGGACTAGTACCATTACTCTTATAAAAATCATCTTTTAAATTGATGTTAATTTGCCTTCTCCCTTCCTCCCCTATTCCTTTTCCCCACCCGTTTTGTTTTGTTATTGTAGTTGCTGTTCTATTGTTAGTTACAGGGGTGTACTTACTTCATGTTTTTGTTAAATTTGATTTTCATGTATACTCAAGGGATTGACCATTGACAGGCCTGTAGGCCTATTGTAGATCCCACCATTATATGTTATGTTATACTTATGGTGTATTCTTGTTTGTCTTTTGATTGTTTTGTATTTTTATCAGATTGTGGAAATAAACATGATTTGATTTAGATTTGATACTGTCATAGAACCTGTCTAGAAAGGCAACCTGCCTACAGGGGCTTTTTATGTGGCTTTTCTAGACAGGTTTAACTATATTTTGGACTAACCTTGACATGAAATGGACTGATCTTTTGAAATAATAACACCCAAGATGGTGACGACCAAAAAGTAGGCACCAAACAGCACTAGTACTGGTAGAACAAGGCTGAAAAACAAAAGGCAAAAATCAGTAATTATGCACCAGAATAATAGATAAGTACTACATGTACATGTAGTAAAAGAAGCCTGCAAATAACAAGACAAGTCACAGTAGATAGACACAGTAGTAGTAGTATTTGATAAATTGTGTAGCACAAGGCGCGATAGCTCAGTCAGTAGAGCAGTGGTCTCGAAATCCGGTGACCAGGGTTCGAAACCAAGTCGATGCGCAAGTGCCCTTTGTAAGGCATTATTCCTCACTACCTGGTCCCTCGGAGAGGACCTAAAGCCATCGGACGTCTGGTTGCTTACTTACAAGCATTTATGCTTTCTTAGCAGTCAGGTAAAGTAACCATCACATTGATATTTATAATCTACCACAAAAGACCTTGTCAAAGTTGTAAAAGGAGATTCCATACAATGTAGGCTGTACGACATAAGTCCTTTTCCTACATATTTCATTAAAAAAATGAAGAACCTTTAGGTACATTGTATGACCATTGATTAATAGTGCTTCCTTGTATCACTAGTTTAATATACCGGTAGTCATATCAAGAGATCTGTTACAGATCTAAAATAGAGATCTGTTAGGATGATGGATAAATGTTGAGTGTTGTACAGGACACATTGCATGGAATTGTCTTGAACAGGACTAGAACCGATAGAATACTTAAAGATCCTGTCTTAAAGACCATACTCACAATTGCCCAAAACATACTAGAACTGATAGAATTTGTATATTTGATGGCTTTGAGTGTGATAGAAGAATATATTGCTCGAGCTATTACAATATTGGAAGAGTCAAAGACGAGTCTAATATTGTCTTACCGAGAGCAATATATTCTTGTATCACACAAAAACAAAGCCACACAATATTATTATTATTATCTATATCAGTCTAACTAGCAAAACAAAATATGACTTAGTCTATCTCGGTAAATGTTTTTATTTTCGTGTGATATCGCAATGATATCGATATCGATAGTTGAAGTTCCCGGATGACTGAGCAATACAAAATCAATATTGATCAGTCATCCGGGTACTGCGCTAAAGATATTGAATACACTGATTTATTGTACCACTTGGAAGCCTTATATAGATAATAATTAAAAAGATCTTGGCTCAAAGACCATACACAAAATTTCCCAAAACATACTAGTGAAACTCACAATCGATTGAGATATTCTCTCTTGAGTAACCCGACTGATCTCACTAAGTAGAAGTGACAGGACTAGAAAGATACAATACTTAAAGCTTCTTGCTCAAAGACCATACTCACAATCGCCCAAAAGAGAACTAGAAACGATAGAATACTCAAAGATCCTTGCTCAAAAACCACACTCACAATTGCCCAAAACATACTAGAACCGATAGAATACTCAAAGATCCTGGCTCAAAAACCATACTCACAATCGCCCAATATATACTACAACCGAAGGAATACTCAAAGATTCTGGCTCAAAAACTATACTCACAATCAACCAATATATACTAGAACCGATAGAATACTCAAAGATCCTTGCTCAAAGTCCATACTCACAATCGGTTGAGATATTCTCTCTTGAGTAGCCTGACCGATCTGGCTAAGTAGAAGTGACACACTATGACGAGTTGAGCCATCTTCAAGAGTTGCACAGATAGCTCCATCGCTGGGTAGTGCATGAAAAGCCAGTGAATTGTTCTGTCATAACCAAGAAAAAGAGAAGAGAACATTCATAAGATGTATTAAAAGAAATTACATTTTCATACCTGTATTGAAACTTTGAAAGGTCTGGTTCTATGACATTTGCTTCAACAACAATTGCTCCGGTCAAATTGGCACAATAACTAAAATTGTTACTTCAACCTTAGACCTCACAAAAGAGGTCCCACAAATATTCGATAATTTTGAACCAATCAATCTTATTTACTGGGTGACAGCTAGTAAGCCACAAATATCTTTAATAATTGAAATTTCTCCCAGGAAGCATTACATTTATAAAAATTTTGAACCAGTCGTTAAAATTCAAGATAGCTCCTTATACATTTTATTCCAGCCAATGCCAATGTTGGCCAATGAATTGTTATCATTATCAATTCATTCATACATGTACATTCATTAACGGTCACTCTATTTTTTTGAAAGTGGAGCTGAATTGGTTTGATCGGATTTACCGGTAATCAAAATTTCACCCATTTTGGGAGCTAAAATTATCTTCATAGCAATTTTAGGTCCTAAAAGGGCACTAGAAATGTCATAAATCAAAGAACAATATCCATGTACTTTGAAGGCATTTGCGGTCTTAAACAAGTACTCAACTGCCCCTTTAACCCTAATCCTAAACTTCCTACCGGTACATTGTATAAACCCAAACCTAATCCTAAACCATGTGTGAGTAATCACCATTATTGTTTTTTAATGGAACTTTGGAGAGTCACTACAGACTGTTAATGAGTTGGTTCATTAACAGCGTGTCCACACACAAAACAATTTATCCCAAAACTCTATAACGAAACGTCGTATAAAGAATCATTGTATAAATTTCAGAGTGTCCACACACAAGAAACGTTGTATAAATAATCATCGTATAAATTCCAGGATGTCCACACACAGATGAAAGTAATCCTGAAACTCTACAGCGAAATGTTGTATACATGTAGGTGTGCAGTTTGCTACTGCGGTCATGAAATGGAAGCGGAAATGAGAGGTCTGGTCTCCTTTCGCTCGAGGTCACGTTAAGCCCCGCCCAGTTAGTTACACTAGTTACACTCCCCCTGTCCACACACAACATTTTCCGTGATTAGGCATGATTAGGCATGATTAGGCGTGATTCTTTATCGAGTTTCAGTTCGAAACGATGCCCAAACCTGTGTTTCATTAGACTAGTTTCATTATACGACGTATCGTTAGTGAGCATCCACACACACAATTTTCATCGTAAAACTATCGCGAAACGGTATAGCTAATCACGCCTAATCACGGAAAATGTTGTGTGTGGACAGGGGGTAACATACATGTACATGTAGTAGATTAAATTAAATTGCATGGCAATAAATTTTCCAGTGAGCTTGGTTTCTGTTTTGGTTTCAAATTTATGTAGTATTGTAGAATCAAATATTGAAAACTAAAATTCTTGGGCTGAAGTAGCCATCCATTCAATTTCAAATGCATTAAAAGAGTTAAAGTACTGATCTACATGTATCATATATATATATATCGATAAGACATCATGGTCCAGACATTTGGAATGCTTTACCTGACAATATTTAACACTCTGCAACTCTTTATTCTTTCAAAGCATCGATGAAAAAATATTTAATATCTACATATTCAAAAACATCATAAGGGTCTCAGAGGTTTTGATTGTTTATTTAAATTAATTTTAGATGACCAGTTCATTAACAATACGAATCGAACACTTACTTCACCTGCACACACCCACTTGCACATTTGTTTTCTTTCTTTAATTTCTTTTGACTTTTTATTCAGATACTTTCTGAACAAAATCTTTATATGCGACTCTCTATTCACCTACTTACTCCTATAACAGTGCCATGTACCCCCCCCCCCCCCCACTTCCCGGCTGCTATTGAATCAAGCATCTTTGCTTATGATAGTTGGCCTCTGCATTTATCTTGATTATTTTTACTTACCCCCATACTTTCAAGCTTTTAATTATGCATTTTTATTTGTGTGTATTAAGTTGTCACTCTTTATGTAAATCAATTATATTATATACTATTATTGTTATTTGAATGTTTTATATTTGATTTATCAATAAATGCAGAAACATCTGCTGAAAAAATAAAAAATAAAAAATAAAAAAAAATATCCACATTAATAGTGTCATTTCTATATATTGTAATTTCTATTGTATAATGTTGTATAATATGCATAATTATTATATTGAATAAAATAATTCATACATCAGGTTTTTGTAAGTTGCATTTGCATATTTCAAACAGTATATTATAATTGTGAGTCCATATCTGGTTTATCTATAATTTTTACTAATTGTGATGTTTACTTGTAATTCAATATCTTTAACATGTTTTTTAGGCATCTCTCACTTTTCCTTCCTTTTGCTTTCTTCTTTTTCTTGCGCTTAGAGATTTAGTATTAAGCGCTTTACAAATATAATGTATTATTATTAAAATTGTAATTATGATGTATAATTAGACAATTCTATTAAAATGATTTGAAGTACTTATATCTGTTTCACACTGAAACTGAAATAGGAGATAACATGTAATCAGATGACTTTTCTAAGTTCAAGTACATGATTGAAGGAGTTACACAACAGATTAATATCTCTTAGATAGTTGCACGTTTATGATTGAATTTTATAGAAAGAGAAAGAGAAAGAGACGGAGAGAGAGAAAGAGAGAGAGAGAGAGAGAGAGAGAGTGAGAAGGAGAAAGAAGAATTTGGCCATTTCAGCTATAAACTCATATAAAAGCTCATTAAAGTTTTATATAGACTCTTGGGCCTACATGTACTTTGTCTAATTTATAAATAAACGTAATCTATACCAGGCAATTTTCACATACGGTACTGTATGTTTACCCCATCTTGCAGGTGATCAATAATAACTTTGGTACCGGTATTAGAAAATTGAGTACTACAGGTATTTACTTTGCTCTGAAGGCAAATAGTCCAAAGTTCCTTCATCTTTGTGAAAATAATATACTGTACAATAATACATTTGTTAAAAGTACATGCACACAACATGTCAAATGTATTGAACATTCAAAATCCATATTTGCTGACATAATTCAATGACACGCTCCAAAACAAGACTTGAATGAAGGGAAGGAAATAGTTGTTTTCCTTTATTCATGGATATTTTCTTTTCCCTCACAAATGTCTGCAAAATATCCTCCACATCAGACAGACCTTGGAAGTACTGTTGAGTGAGCATACAGATGATTATTACCTACAATGTACATTTGGATGTAATCAATATTTGATATATCAATTACTTCAAGAGCAAAAATGAATAAAGAAATAAAAATTAAAATAAATTTTAAAAAATAAATATATACCGGTACTGTAAAAGCTGTTATTTTCGCATGATTAATTTTTCACGCTGAGCGTCCCCAAAACATATTCACTGGTTCTTTACTTTGCTTAGCAAGCAATTCAGCCCGTTCAAACCACGCTTAAGAAGTCATGCTTATATTTTTGGGATATCTAAAATTCGCGCTTGCCGATCTTAGCACAAAATCCGCGAAAATTAATGTACCGCAAATATAGAAGTAAATAAGTAATAATTCAATTTGTATAAGTAACGGATACATTTATTTGTAACAGGTGAATGTAATAATTTGGATGAGGCACTTAATAAAAGCATTATGCATACATTTGGTATTACGAAAATGCCCTATTTTAGTGTGCGTCTTAGTTTAAGGCTTTAAGCAGTACGTAGTACATGTATGTACATGTACTATGTAGTCAATATTTAGGAATAACAAACAGCACACCCTTATCTGGCATACTTAATGGCACGATCAAACAGCTAGAATTACTACGTGAGAATCCATATGAATTGCATTCCTATCACAGTTTTGGAAAATAATTGCCATTGTGCCGGTTCAGCACCGGCTCTTTGCATATACGGTGGACTGTGAAATTGTTGCACTTTGCTCCATGACTTTGCACTTGAAGGTTTGTATGTATACAAAGCAGTCGTGTGTATTACTGTCAATGCCACTTGGCAGCTAGCAATGTCAATAACAAAGGGGGAGTGACGCTATGAATGAGCAAGGACCAACAGAGTGAAGGCATGAAGGAAAAACAAACTAATATTCATGTAAAAAGATGCCGGTTTAATATGTACACATTCTTTTACAGCAGCTATGTGCAAGTAAATGTACTTAACTTAATTACATGTATGCATGTGTACATTCATGTTACACGTGTATGTGTCGGTATCACATGCATGTCTGTAGTGTACATGTTTATAATAGTAAAAATTGTTTTAATTTAATAAGAAAATCCATCAGAATTTGGAAAAAGTTAAGATAAACACAGACATATATCACAAACAGCTAGGTCATATCTTTTAAAGTCAATGTTTGATCACTAATAAAGTCAACTCCCGTCCATCTATATTTTGTTGCCGCCTTCATGTATAGACAATGGACTCAGACAATGATATAAATGGATGGAATCAACTGCCCTGATCCGGTGTGTGGGTTGTTAATCTAGCTCCCAAGGACAAAGTCCATCAAAATGATATCCTTAAAATGCACTCCTTTGCATATTTTGCTTTGAGAAATTTAGCATAGGCTTGTGAAAAAGAGCAAAAAGTTTAATACAATACATATTCAAAATATTTTCAGCTGTTTACTTTTGTTATACGACTGTTGTATCATTATATGAATTAATTTTTTTGTTTGAATAATTCTATTTCTCTGCACTTCCTGAAGACAAAGATATATTTTGAAATTCAAATTGAAACTTTTCAGGCATTTTCTAAACATTGTGTTTTTGCCTCTGGTATGAGTAACACCATTACTTAATTTACTTTCATGAGAGAGAGGGGTACACATGTACTTCATTGGAATTTCATTGGGACAACAAAAGTCTGCATGCATGTCATGCAGAGACATCTCAATTGTTTACTGTATAATGGGCAGGTATTCAGGTATTAAGGTATAGAGGTGCCTTTTGTTGGGGGTGGGTGGCTGGAATGAATATTCAAAAGGATGGAGGGGGGGGGGGGGGGGGAGGCGTGGAGGTTCTACAAAAAATGGCACAATATGACTATTGAAGCACACTATCAATAAAGCCTGGCTGACGTCATTGCTCTACAAGTCAGGAACTTTGACCCATATCCTGGATAATATCTAAATCTATACCTGTGTATCTACAGTTATACAACTGTGGTCTAAATGTACACGATTCTACAATCATACAGTGTGCATACACTGTATATATTGCAGTTCTTAAACCAACTTATGTTTAGTTCTGCTCATGCAATCAATCGTGAAAGAAATAGGCCATGTGTTGCTAGGTAGGACAACTATTATGGCTTGTTCTATACCTAACAACACGTAAAAGGTATAAAATTTGCATTTGGACTATCTTACATGTACCTGGTAGGATTATAGGATTATTCCTTGAAATTCACTTTGCGCTGATTACGGCGGCTGGAGCTAAGGCTAGGATAATAATTTCCAAAGCTCTTTGGAAGCGCATCGAGATGTAAATGTGATATGCGCTACACAAAAACAAAATACTATCCATATCATTATTATTAAAATACAGAGGTGAAGCAATAACTTGCAACATGACACCTTACTAAGATTTATGCATTAAATCTGATTACATTACAAAAGTGGTCTATTATTGTCAGGAGACAATTATTCTGCCATGATCATAATACTCTTCAAAATTGAAATTAAAAAAAAGAATTAAAAAAATTGCTAATCATTTTCCATTGTTACGAGAAATAAACCTCTTTATTAAAAGCAATTCAGCATTCTTTAAACAAATGTTTAATGTCTCTGTGGGAAAAAAAAGGAGCACTCAAAAAATAGCACAACTTTATAGAGTCAAGTAAATATATGCGCCTTTATCTGGATGTCAATTTCACGAGAAGTACATGTACATTTGTACCTCTTGAAGTATCAAAATCATATTAAGACAAACATTGACAATGCCAACATTTCCTGGTAAGAGGATATTTTGGGACTGGGAATTTCTACAAGTAAACATGTGTGTAAATATATCATGGGGAGTGTTTCACAAAGAATAATATCGACTTAAAGTATGGCAGGTCGTTCATGCCACTAGTTCCTCTAACCATTCCTGGCATTGGTTTCTCAAGGGACGTACAATTCGTGGTCACAAATCTACAGAATTTACCTTTTTTGATAGTTCATAACTGAAGGAAAAAATATTATCTAAAGATCATAATTGAGAGACCAATGGTGAGAGCAACCAGTGGCATGAATGGCCTGCCATACTTAAGTCCTACTTCAAGTCAATCTTAGCTTAGTCTTTGTGAAACACCCCCCCCCCCCCCCTGAACTTTTATTACCTCTCCGAAGATTCAAGAGATATGGCAGACATATTTTGAAAGAACAAGATGGAGCAGGAATTGAATTTCAGGGAATTAGTTTATTGATTCATCTATCATAAAACAGACATTCTTTCTCTCCGTTAGTTGAACAATAACATAGCTCATGTAAATAGTAGAATTATACATAACAAAGAAGTGTACAATGACATACATGTACATGTACATGTATGTGATGACAAAACAAAATACAATTCAAAGGAGGTATCAAGGAAGTTACAAAACCAATGCGTGCCAGAAAAAAATACAAGAAAAAGAAATACAGGAATAAGAAATACTGGTACAGGAAAAGGAAAAAGAGATAGAGAAAGGAATGACAACAATATAACAAGGATGGAGAGACTTTAAGTAGCTACTATCAATGAATGCGACTTGTTTAAACTGCCATTGCCAAGAACTTTAATGAATAGGAGTAAAGGCCCCAGAAAAACGGAAGAAAAAGGTTGTTGCTTACATTAGGAGACATTCTACCGATGCAAGGGAGAACACAGCAACTTGGTGGTATCTCCTTCCAATATCCACCAACCTAGCAACCTGCAAATATAAAAAAGAAAGAAAAAGAGAAAAAAGGCAAGAAAGAAGAAGAAAAAGAAAAAAATATGAAAAGAAAGTTACATAATGGGGTAGAAATTAAAGGATTTTATTGCAACACCTGGGGCAATTGTTCTGGGAGCTTATAATGCATCGAGAGAAAATACAATGTATGTATTAAACAGAAGCTAATGTTATATTTGTATTATGTGTTGGATTTGTTTTTCAGTGGGGAGGGGGGGGGGGTATACTGCCCTCAGCCCAGTGAGCCCGGATCCCCATCATACATATTCTTTCCTGTTGTTTAAATCTTATGTAAAAAAGAAAAGAAATATGAATATATGTATTGTATAATGGTTGACCCTACAGTGTATCATTACTACAACGTATTACCCAAAATGAAGGGAATAGCCATCACTTTAAACCTACAGAAATAAACAAATCAAAGGATTGATGGAGAAGAGGAAGTAATAAACTGACATTAATTCACACAAGTCTAGACTACAACTACTATGAAAGATAAGTCTCTAAATACAGACTGAACCATGTAAATGAAGATAACTTAATTTATTCATTGTTAGGATTGGTAAAACAAGAAGTATTTAGCGAATAAATCTGTGGCCAGTACTGTACAAAATTCATGAATTTTGCAAGTCCTAGATGTACATGTAGCAAAGTAAATTCCATGACTTTTCAATGACCTAATCATTTTTTTTCAAGACCTTTTTGCTTGGCAACGTGCCTACAGTATGTCATTTAACTCGGGGAATTTCCAATAGCTATGGCTCTGTGACTGTTTCTCTGTTATGATATTTATGAACATATTTTCTCATTTGTTATGACTTGGTAATTTCAATGTTTGAATAAATACATTAACTCCAGGCCAAGAAATATTCTTCCATATTTCAATGACTTTTCAAGGTTGTCCGTGAACATGATAATTCAACTATATAAAAAGAGATACATGTAGACAGAATCAAAACACAAAGAACTGGAAGAAAAAAGGAAACAAATTTGATCAAGATCCAAGTACAAAGAGTGCACACGGGACATCCTTTTTCCCTTGATTTCCTACTGTGTAGAGTATTTTCACTTTCTATTTCCAAATCAACACAAATACAAGAAACTTGACAAAGACAATAATGGATTCTCTTTCATTTCCAAACAAACTTTGTTTGAATGCACTTGAAAGTGGTCATGGAACTCTTCAAATCAATCAAGGATGTCAACTTCAGTGACTTTGGTGGTTTTAGAATGGACAATGTACACACTGTACTTTCACTCTGACTCATGTTTCGAAACAGCATTTTATTGTGTGCAGTTAGGGACACAAAGATCATAATGAACTGGACAATCCTTTGCATTCACAATAGTTTTATTTTTGTTTAAGCCAGTCGTTAGTATCAATAGGCTATTTTTGCAATGTAACCAATTTAATATGAATTTTGACTATTGAGATACATACATGTGTATTACAAATGTCAACATGTGAATGAAATAACTTGGAATGAGGTGCTACACGGAGGCATATACATGTACATGTGCATGCATACATTTAGTTACCGGTACATTACGAAAAATGGCCTATTGGGGATACATTTGCCACAATACACAACTACACAACGTCATCAGTTAATGTAGTTTTGAAATAATATGAAGTAATGTACACATGTATACACACAGTATCAGGAGGGGGGGGGGGGGGGGGGCAGATGTCTAAAAAAAAAAGTTGACAAACAATGATACAAAATATTTTGATGTGCACATGCTGAAGTGAATTGAATACCGGTATAGAACAATCAAGTTTGTCAGTAAGTTCAATTGCTGTATGTGCTATATTGAATATGCTGACTTAATAGTTACAGAGCTTTATTGCACTCTACACTGTACATACAAACAAAGCATACAAATCAACAATTACCTTTAACCTTAATTTAACTTTAACCTACATTTAACTTTAACCTACATTTAAATTATTGACAGACCGGGTGTCTAACCTATGAAATTTATCAGCAATTCAATTGGTTTATTTACTGAGCCTTGTGCCAATAAGGGTAATTAACCAATAGGTATTCTGCTTGAATTATTTAAAAGGTTGGATGTTGGATTTTGTTTTAATCTATGTATTGTTTACACCTCAGTCCAATGAACTTTGCTGATTTTGATAAACTTTATTTGAATAGCCCAAATATGGTTATATATTATGTAACATTTAGTGGTATGGTGGTTCATTCACTTTACCTACAAAGTCTCAATTGAGAGATTTAGGATTTGAATCCTACCTGATACTCATGCCCTTTTGCAAGACATCTTTGCTCAATCGTTTTTTCTCCCAAATATTTTATGAAATTAACCTGGCTTCAAATAGCTCTAATGTAGTTTTGGCCCTTTTAAATACATGATATAAGTGACTAAATTCTAAACTGCTTAAAAAGGAATATCTTGGCCATTTTCAGGTAAAATATGGGCTTAATCATTTAGTGTGTCAAATAAATGAAAGTTTGTCTTGTATAGGTTCCTTCTTGGTGATACATTGTGACATTGAATTTTGATCATTGCCTCAGGTCTAATGTTTCTTTCTGGTACATAACGGCCACACCCTTTTTTTTCTTCTTTATCAATGGCATGGTAGTGTATTTTAATTAGGCTAGGAAATAACAGAATTAATAGAATGTACATGTAAATGTCTGATATAGAGTTGTAAAAATTTGGAGTGGACTATTAGACTATTATTATTATCATTATTATTATTATTTATACTGGTAGTCAATTCAAAACCTGCTTTGGCGACCACCTGTATAGAAAGACCACCTGTCTATAAAGACCACATTTTCGTTTCCCTTGAAAATGGGTTCTCATTGAAACATGTACTAAAGAAACCTGTACATATACAGGACACTTGCCTATAAAGACCACTTTTCATGAGCGGTCTTACAGGTTTCACTGTAGTAACAGTCAAACGGAATTGTCCTTTTCATCTCTTAACTTTGTTTCAAACTGCTGTCCTCATACAAAAAGCAGATGAAAGGATTTTCCTTCACCAGTATTTGAATACTTTCTCAAAGTAAAATTTGAAAAAACACATGCACTATGCAGTCGTGTACTTACCCGTACTAGGCATAACAGACCCAATACCACCACAAATAGGGAGAGGATTCCATTTCTGAGAGTAATGGAAAAGAAAGAAAGAAAACAAAAATCGGAAGGTCATAATAATACACAAGTACCATTAAGTGTTTCCAAAACAAAATTGCTGTTCATGTATATGTATAAAGGTTAAATATCAATGAACAGTTTTGCTATTAAAACAAAAATGTATATTTGTATATTACAGTTGACTTGAAGAGTCTTGAAGAGTCGAAATCTACGGTAGTCAAATTGACAAGTTTTTAGGTTAAATATTAATGAAAAGCTGTTCTATTTTTTTTTTTTTTATAAATGGTGGTAATGAGTGTGTACATTGGACTAATGCAATTACAAATTTCTTTCATTCCATATTACATGTGTAAAAATCTAAATACCGGTATATGAACATCTCCGTGTACATGTATACATGGAGAAACAGGCCAACATATATTCATAAAAGTCATGTTTGCCCATGTCTATTTTATACCCTTTTAAAATTATTTTATCATTATCATTTTTATTGATGTTTTTTTTACTTCCCTGCAAGTTTGCACATTAAAGATGTTCAATTGTATGTGTACAGAGTATTAGTATAAATAAAATAAAACAAAACAAAGGAAAAACAAGATATTCTTTGGACTAAAGAATATCCATAACAAGCTTTTTTCCTTTCTTTCTCTTTCTTAATTGTTGTCTTTTTTTTCTTTCTTATACTCTGAAGCATGTTTTGTCATTTTCTTTCGCCATTGCATGTACAGTTGCAAACAAGTACAGCACTGACTTGTTCCATGGCCTTTTAAGGTTATAGATCTTTCCAATTTGCGATTAAAAATTGAGGTCACAGTTACAATAATAATAATTTTGGTCACATGTTTTATTTAACCAATGCTTTAGAAGATCCTGAGTACATATACATGTACAGGGGTGTATATGGGATATGTTTGCTTGCTAAATAAGCACATCCTGAACAGAAAGTACATGTACTGTACTGTAGAGGAAGGAATATTTTTAGGTCACTGCCAAGATCCAGAGGATTAAGGGATTTTTTCTTTCACAACTTCACCCAAATGTCAAGAATGTTTCATTCCTCACTGCAGAAGTAGGCCTACTATCTGTTATAAATGCACACATGTACAGTATGTATCCACATTTATGTTTATACACGTAATGTACATGTACAGCTCATGAGGCCATTTTCGTAGTGTACATGTAACAAAATTTAATGCACCTTTGTAAAGTGCCATGTTATGAATTATTTCATTTACCTGTTTCAAATAACTGTACTTTAATTTTCAGAATGTGATATACATGTACATAGCTGATGTACACTAGCTGATGCCCTACTTAAAAAATGTAAGGCCTAGATGAAAATTTCTTTTTATTGAAATACAATTAATCATATATTATGAAAATGGCCTATAATGTGCAAAATACTCACAAGGTCTACACAATAGTTATTTCCATCTGTATCATGTTCGTCAGGGCTCAACACCAACAAGTGCCCGGAAAACACACAGGCCCCTAGAAATGTTAAACTCCAATCCCCCACATTTTAAACTTTTAGATGGGTGTCATGTACAACGGACCATAAAAATGTGTATCCACCTGTACATGGCCTTATTGTTGTATGTACACTGTACTTTACAGTACTGGTACATTGTAATATGATATCGATGTGCAAGAAACAGACTACATTTCACAATGATTAATAATATACATGTACATTGTAGTGCAGTAAGCAAGAACATGCCACTAGTTGCTCTCACCATTGGTATCTCAAGGGACCTCACAAATCTACAATATGTACAGAATTCACATTTTTTGATACTTTATTATTGAAAGAAATAATAAATTCTAAGGTTTTTTCCCTCTAATTTTACATCTGGTTCAAGACTTTTTAAGGGCATAAATTGCCTGCCATAGTTCAAGTCCAACTTAAGTCGATCTTAGTCTTTGTGAAATACCCCCCCCCCCCCCCCCGATCAAACACAACTCTACCCTATCTCACCTGACACAAGCTAGAGGGTCAAAGTTACACAGACACCCCAGGAGCACAACATCCACAGTTTGGGTGTGGTTATGCTTCGGCGTTGTCAAGACGACCAGGGCATCCTCTGTAACCGACGACAGAGGCTCCGTGGGTCCGACTAGGAAGGTGTAAGAGTCTGTTACCATAGCGATGCTGACATGGGTGGGGCTGTTTTGTTCTTGATGTTTTCTCTGAGAGTTGCAAGGTTGGAAGTTGTTACCGATGCCAAGGATTACATCTTGGAAACTGTAAATGGAAAATATGAATACCAGTATGGTGAGACCTGTAGATAAAGGACAACTTATAAGGAAAAAAGAATTGTGGTCTTTATGGACAGGTGTCCTTTATGGACCCTCTTCAATGAGCAACACCGTTCAAAGGAAACAAAATAGAATGGTCTTTACACATGTACAGGCGGTTGGTTAAATGCTGAAGAACCAAATAATGTGTTGAATATCACTAGAAAACTAAACAATTTTTCAGAAGGTCATACCTTTATACATGTACAGCACATTCCTGGGGGCTCTTTCATAAAGCTTGTTATCTATATTTTAATAACAAGTTACAATAACTGTTATAAGCTACTGAAATTGTGGCATTTGATTGGTTGAGAACAAATGTGTTATAGAAATTTAGCATTTGTTATTGACAGGGCAGGGAAGCAACTATAGAATACCCCACCACAAAAATTGACCAAACATTTGTAGGGTATCAAAAGCTTCACCAATAAAGCTAAATTTCAAGACTCAAGCTTTCTAAGTAACACTAAACCTAATCCTAACCCTAACCCCAACTCTAACCCTAGGTCTTCGAAGTTTATGTACATTAACCCTATTGGTGGGGTTAACTTACTCATTGCCAACAAGACAATACATATGTACATGTATGTGATAATGGTGACAGAACAGAAGCTCATTCCTCAGGTGATGTCTGCTGAACGTGGGAAATGTTACCTGTCAAACATTTCCTTGAGGAAACATTAAAAAGTGATGAGTTTTAAAGGGAGTGGGTCGTCGGTTCCTGTGTGCACAAGGCCATATTTTGCCGACACCAGACTTGGTGGAAATACCATTGATTGGAGTACTAGTTTGCAAACAGCGGAACTGTACGCCTATCAAGAAATACCCCCTCGTTTCTAGAAACTAGGGGAGTCTTTGGGTGAGGGAAAAGTGAGATATATAATGTATATATGGGGGAATGCAAGGCATAATTAGTAATTAGACCTGTTGGTCATAAAACTGAAGGCTTGTCATGGCCATTGACAACACCTGTTGTTGGTTAAACTCCTAAATGGTGTTGATTTTACCATGAGGGCCCACTCCTATGCCTCTTTAACTTTATCACTGAAACTCAAAATGTAAGGATGGTCAAAAGGAAAAAGAAGAAAAAATACAACACAGAAAAATACATACAGTTCATCTACAAAGTACATGTGTATTGTGTATGTGTATTTTGTATGAGTGTGCAGAAGAGGAACTCAAGCAAGAGCTGCATCTGACTCTGGAGAAGATGCAGGGACTCATCTTGGCACCTTGCCAAGGGTACTCCCCAGCTCTTACTGGTTTTCCCCGGCAACAATAATAACTATCGTAGGTGTCTCCAAATCCAACCCTTAATTCGTTATTTAAGATAAAGGTTAAGATCTGGTCATGTAATTGCATTGAGAAACTGTCTGGGAGCACTTTGGAAAAGGGAGATTTATATGCATCTTGAATGCTTACTTTAGTGCCTTATTATAGCATCTCAGCTACAACCAGGGTAATAATATGACACTTTGCATTAGACGCAGTAGATTAATTTAGTACATGAAGCTGCGCCTTCGTTGTGTGTTAACTTGCCCCTCCTCTAGTTTCATAGATGCAGGCTACATGTATGTTACATGGAAGTGGAAAACACTCTGTCCCTCGGATAGGACGTTAAATGGAGGCCCCGCGTACAGGAGAGTCACCACCCTTGAACGTTAAGAACCCACTGCACTATTCGTATAATACTAGTAGGGGGAAACCCCGGTGTAGTGGTCCAACTGCACACCCCAGTAAGTTCAGAATTGGTGTTATCCTGACTTGTAAGGATCCTGTCAAGTATCGACATAGAGTTAGAAGTATACAAATGGACCTAGATGTAATGGTCGTTTATTCAACATAAAGCGCTCAAGTATTGGAACACATACAGTACATTCCTTACTAGAATTTTCCTTCATTGCTCGTACTTGTCTAACACAGATCAATGACAATTATTTCAAAAAATGAAATAAACATTATGTAAATATAAAACAATAATTACAGCGCGAAATGCTAATAATAATTGATAACATGCAGATTAGATGCAATATAATCGCTGGATATAATTAGTTTTTAATTACAAATAGACCTTATTGCAAAAATGAAATTAATCTTGTGTTGATAATCTTCTGCACAACTGAAATGTAATAAAGTGTAAATATTTCCATGTATAAACTTTCTCTGCTTGTGTTTAATGGCAAGTGCAAAAAACTTTCAAAAATACCATCAGAGGGGAATACAATTATTGATTATAATATTAAAGCGTTCATTGCTGCGTTGGATGACCACGGACCGACATACTATGTTTCGGTGGGGTGACTATGATCAGTGGCTTATTTTCACCAGCAGTTAGAACTTAGAAGTGGATTTTTTTTTTCGTCAAATTCAATTTGAATTCTCGCTACCCCAAATAGCGATTCTGCCGAGATCCGGGGAAAATCCTGAAAACGCGCATTGCATTATGGGATAGCTTTTCGACATTACAGCTTCCTGTGCAGGCGGCGCGATAGCGCAAACGTAAAACGCCGTCGCCACACAACGTGTATGCACCGAATATGTCGTCTGCTCGGTCTTGTTTTTTTTTCGCAAATATTTCAACGTTTATTTGAACATTTCATTCGTTGTTTTTTGCGTCTTTTGACATCAGTGACGATGGTTTTCTTTCGTGAGGCTGCACAGTGCTGGGCTCATGATTCCAAGCGTAAGAACCCTGAAAAATGGGGGTGGATGAAGGCCGTGACTTGGGATGGGACTCTATACCGGAAGTTGTAGTGACGACCCGAGAGAGTGAAAATTACCTCGTCTCGCGAATTTCGAGATCCTGTACCTATTTAGGGTAGCGAGAATTGGGTAGCACTGCCACTAGCAGACAGACGAAAGGCAGTACATGTACATACATGTACCTGTTTACTTGGTACTTGGTTGTTGTTCCCCCAAAAGATTCCTAGTGGAATTTAAACTGGAGGTCGTTGGTGGCAGAGGGTGGGCTTAAGGAGATTTCGGAAGGAGTGCTACTTTAAACTTTGCGGAGTCAGTCAGGGATACTAATGTCGGATCAAGGTTATTCCAATCATGCTATGGTTATGCGTGGTTTTCTAGGCGCTACTTCAGAAGTCTAGCCAAAATTTGACCCGCAACTTCAGCGTGGAGAAACATACTACTGAAACATACCCAAAAGGAAGTAAATATTCATCAAATATCTCCACGGCACGCCCGTGTTACGGTCAGATTTTGGCTAGACTTCTGAACTAGCGCCGGCCCCATTTACTCTATAGTCTATAGTGTCTTAGCCTCTTGTCGATTACCCTCGCGCTGTAGGAGTCCGTAAATTCTTATGTTTTTCACCGTTTGGCAAATATTCCGACCCAACTGAAGATCAGTGAAAATCATCCAATCAGAGAGGGCTACTATGACATAATATCCATGCTCTGGCCGCCTATCTCCCGCGGCTGTGTTGGGCAATCGCTGCAGTGGTTACATTATTCACGTATACATGCATAGGGTCTAGATCTAGGTCTAGTTCAGTAGAAAATCGGGTCTCATGAATATATAATTCAGATCACTTGTTAAGAGGCCTTCAGCGCCAGCACCTCAGTACTCTGGCTCGCTTCGCTCCCCAGAATTTACGGACTCCAACAGCGTGAGGGCCATCGACAAGACTCAAGAGGCTAAGTAATAATAGTCAGTGTAGACTAGGTAGGCTAGACTGTAGTCTAGATCTTTCTAAGTTAAAGTGTAATTACTCTACCCATGTCCAGATGTCATCATTAAAATGCACGAAATGGCAGATGTCCACACCTACAATGCACCGAAAACGTTGTCAAACATAGAGCTATAGCTAGCCTACGACCAGGCCGTAAAGCCCGGCCTCATATCCCACCGCCATTCACGTTCGACAAGGTTCATTTTGCGATGCACTGCACTGGCCACTGCTCTACCACCACGATCTTACTAGATTAACTACTCTATACACCATCACTTACAAGTCTAGTTAAGCAACACACCGAACCAACAACAGACATACTTCATTCATTGATACGCAAATCACAACATATTTAAACTTAGCCTACCTACTATTAAAGATGAGAATTTAAAGAATTTCACAGGAACACTAACCTTCAAATTGGGGCCGGGTGTAATCGTGTATGTCTTCACCTTTGCCGGTTGCTCAGCGGCCTCTGATCTGACAATAATTTGTTGATAAACAATAGGCCTACGTTGTCCATGCATATATATCTACTACTACTCTAATTGCTTTGCATCAGAGCGCATGCGCATACTTACAGGGCGGTTCTTTTGTTTGGTTTGCATCTGCCTTTCCCAGGCCCTCCCTCCAAGATTGCGGGGGTCGGGTTGGGGGCATTTACCGGTTATAGTGGTCAATTTATAAATTGATTTTAAACAAAATTTGTGCGGCTGGAGAGGTACGTAGAATCAAAACATAGGCATAATAATAAGTGTTAATGGGCATTTTGATTATTGCAATTAAGGGCTTATTTATACATGTATATAATTACAAATTTCTTAGGAGGGGGGGGGGGGACAACCTGCTCATGCCTTCTTTAAAAGGTCGTTTATACCTTCCGTACAAGGGGTGCAGAAATAAAAATGTGCCCCTTGTTTAATTTCTTGACTCCTTTTGAATGAGCTTATAACCCCCAAAAGAATGCACCTGGAAATATTATAGCAACTATAAAAATAATATTTGTGTTCGTCATATTTTGTTAATAAGTTAGCACCACATCCGGGGGGCGTTATTTTTTTATGCGGCACAGATTGGGGCTTTTTTTTAAAAGGGGTCTTTATTTACAGACTAATAGTGGTCGTGTGCGTACCGTGTGCGTACGTACTATATTAGTAGAGGTCTGTTTTTAATAGTGTTACATGTAATCCCGGCCCCCCCCCCCCCCCCCCCCCCACTCAGTGTTATTTAGGGTACGCATATGCGTGTTCCAACCGACCCCCCCCCCCCCTTTTCAGCAAAAGTCCGGTGTGTAAAGTCAATACGGCTCGACCTTTTTCTTTTGTATACGAGCCTTTTTCAGCACCCCCCCCCCCCTTTCAGCAAAAGTCCGGTGTGTAAAGTCAATACGGGTCGACCTTTTTCTTTTGTTACGAAAAGGACATTTTGGCAACAAGCATGCGGTCATTTCGGAACCTGAGTGGGGGGGGGGGGGGCCGGGCATGTAATCCACTTCACTACCGTATGGAAAATCATTACATCAACAATTAAAATCAAATTGTAAATCTGAAGAGGAGGCAGCACGTCAATAAGGAAAACATCACAATAATTAGTCAATAAAACTTAACTAACTTAAACGAAGAGAAATGTTATCTAAACACATAGTTCGCGATGGATATACAAACTTCTTCGCAGCGCTAATGCGCTAGCGAACATGACTAGTCTCACGTACGTGCAGACACTATTCAGAAGGGAAAGAACGTACTTCCCATAGGTTTAACACGCGCCATGCCCCAATCTGTGCCGCATAAAAAAATAACGCATCCGGGGGCGTCGCTAGACCTTTTTCAGTGGGGGGGGGGGGGGGGGGGGGGGGTGTAGAGGCCGACGATTACCGACAAAACTAGCAACCAATTACCGACAATTTTTTTCTTCCCCTTTTACTCTTTTTTTTCTCCCTTTCTTTCTTTTCTTTCTTTTCCTTTCTTTCTTTTCCTTTCTTTCCTCTCTTCCCTCTTTTTTTTCTTCTTTTCTTTCTTCTCTTTTCTTTCCCTTTTTTTCCTTTCTTTCCTCTTTTCCTTTCTGTCTTTTCTTTTCTTTCCCTTTCCCTCTCTTTTTTTTCCCTCCCCCTTTTCTCTTTTTTCCCGACGGCAGCGTAATTTTATCGACAATATCCTGACAGGTGTTGCACCCCCCCCCCCCCCTTGGAGGGGGGGGGGGGGTGTAGAGGCCGACGATTACCGACAAAACTAGCAACCAATTACCGACAAAATTAAATGTCCACTATCTACAAATTTAACCCTATAAACCCGGGGCCGAAGGCTAAATTGTTTTTCCTGTGGACTTGCTAAATTTCCTATGAAAGGCTAATTTTGTTTTTTTCTATAGTACTTGCGTATGCGCAAATGGTCATTTTCCTCGATGACATGAATATACGAATTATTTCGTCAACTTAGTCAGCATCATAGCTATATATTTTAATGCTGGCGCGGAGCTAGGATCTTATTTGAGCGAGGGGCGGTAGTGAGCAAGCGAATCACTTAAAGAGCGCTCATTGGGGGGGGGGGGGAGGGGTGTGGGTGATAGGAAGCTTAGACGTTTCCTGAAATTATTAGAAAAAGAAGACGGTTTATTGTACCGTTCTCGACTGTTAATCCTTGTCTGAATGAAGTCCCCCCCCCCCCCTCCCGCGCAAAGCGCGAAAGCTTTGACGTTTCATTAAATTGTTATAAAAAGAAGACGATTTGCTGTACCGTTCTCGACTGTTAATCCTTGTCTGAAATCAGTTTTCCCCCTCCCGCGCAAAGCGCGAAAGCTTTGACGTTTCATTAAATAATTATTAGAGCCTTCGTTGAACCGCGCTCGACTCTTAATCCTTGTCTGAATGAGGCTTCCCCCTCCCGCGCGAAGCGCGGAAGTTTTGACGTTTCATTAAATTATTAGAGAAAGAAGACAATTCGTTGTACCGTTCTCGACTCTTAATAAGCCCTAATCGTCTGAATTCAGTTTCCCCCTTTAGCTTGACGTTTCCTTAAATTATTAGAGAAAGATGACGATTCGTTGTACCGTTTTCGACTCATAATAAACCCTAATTATCTGAATTCAGTTTCCCCCTTTAGCGCGAAGCGCGGAAGCCTTGACGTTTCCTTAAATTATTAGAGAAAAAAGACGATTCGTTGTACCGTTCGGCGACTCGTCTAAATGAAGTTCCCCCTCCCGCGCGAAGCGCGGAATTTTCGGCGTTTCATCACAATATAGAGAAATGAAGACGATTCGTCGTACCGTTTTCGACTAAGCCCTATTCATCTGAATTCAGTTTCCCCCCTCTCGCGCGAAGCGCGGAAGCTTTGACGTTTCCTTAAATTATTAGAGAAAGAAGACGATTCGTTGTACCGTTTTCGACTCTTAATAGGTATAGCACACCAAAAATAAGTACAACAAACACATGTTATCTGATGATTCCAAATGATCAAGCTTTATAAAAGCTTCAAAAAACAAAAAAACAAAATTGAAATCGGTCAATGCGTTGTGATTTAATGATATCGCAAAATTACCCCAAAACCTGCAAGAAATGGTCAAATTGGCAAAAATGGCAAAATTCGACAAAGTTGACAACTTAATTCATCACTTTCTTGGACACAAATAATAAATTAAATTATCAGACACTAAAATATCATCTTTGTGGTAAAAAATACAAAAAAGATATATCTATTACCATTTTGAAAACAGCAGCCAACAAAATAAGTAAGTTCAAAAGGCATGGAGACTGTTGTCCACAGATGATTTCATCAAATTGAATACCGCCCTCTAGTTACTAGTCATTTAAAAAAACTCTAACTCTGCATGAGCTTGAGATATGGTGTTGGACGTGGAAGTTAAACGTTTCTCCTACCAAATCTGCAGTATTAGTCTTTACCAACAAACAAAAGAAAGATATTCTTCTACAAATAAAAGGACATAATCTGCCTATATGCGAGCAGTATAAGTTCCTTGGTGTGAGGTTTGACTCCAATTTAACTTGGTCTGTCCATATAGATTCTATCATTGATAAATGTAAGAAAAGAATAAACTTGCTACGTTGTGTCTCCGGCACCCCCTGGGGAAGTAAGTATGAGATTTTGATGATGATTTATAAAGGACTTATCCTATCCATTTTGGACTATGGGAGTGAAATGTATGATTCTGCTTGTATATCTTTAACAAAAAAACTTGACTCTATCCAATACAGAGCCTTAAAAATTATTACAGGCACAATACACAATGTGTCCTTGGAGGCTTTACAAGTTTTGACCGGGGAGCTGCCTCTGAGATATCGTAGAAGGTTGTTAAATGATAACTTTCGAGTTTATTTACTGTCTAGTACTTTAAACCACCCAACAAAAGAAGTATTGGGTGATGACTATGATTTAAATAACTTAGAATGGAAGATAGGAGAAGGACCTTTTAAACTGCGATCCTTTAGAGACGAAGTAGTGGTGGAAGGGCAAACCAACTTATTGCCGAAAATCCCAGAATGGCGGTTAGCACGACCACAAGTGTCTTTCGAACACCATGGCAAAGTGCAAAAAAAGGAAATGTCTCCATTTGAAATAAAATCGATTGTTCTAGATAGCATTGGAAATTCATGGAATGGGTTTTTACATATATATACAGATGGTTCTAAACTCGAGGATGGGAAGACAGGAGCCGCATTTTATGTGTCTCATTATAATGTGGTGAAATTTTTTAGATTATCCCATGTCTGTATTATGAGAGCAGAACTAGTGGCCATACTAATGGCACTAGAGTGGATTAATACATTTATTGAATCCTCTTCGGTGGTAATTTTAGCGACGCTTTGTCAGCTTTACAAATGATCGATTCATACTTTATTAGATGTGCTATTATTGTAAATGAAATTTTATCCATAATTAATATTTTGCAGTTTAAGGATGTTTGTGTTGCTTTTGAATGGATTCCGTCACATTGCGATATTAGGGGCAATGAGATCGTAGATCGGGCTGCCAAAAAAGGAGCCATGAAAAGGTGTATAGACATAGTTATACCAAATACAAGAAGTGAATTGGCAGCCTCTCGTTTGATCCATTATAACAAATTATGGCAAGCAGAATGGGACAATGCAGAACACGGTAGATTTTTATATGCTTTGCATAGCGACGTTTCAAAGCCCATACATAGACAAGGCCTATCTCGCAGAGAAGAATGCTTGATACAACAACTAAGAGTAGGTAACTGTAGTTTAAATTATTACCTTTTTCAAATTAACCAACACGATACTGGTCTTTGTGAAGTTTGTCAAGAAGATGAAACAATTAAACATTTTATTTTCTATTGTACAAAATACGACAAAGATAGACGTCTCTTAAAAGAAAGGATTAAATTGAACAACCCCAATCTGAAACAATTATTGATGTCTAACCCAATTTTTACTCGTGAATTATTGGGTTACATATACGATACTAATCGTTTTAGATAGCTTTTAAAGCTATCAGGGATCCCCTTAACTTATGTCGATCCTGTAATAATATATAAAATGAAGTATTTGCGGTTTTTCCATGAACAATTGCAACTAACTCCCATCTCGCCTTTTATGTGCATTTTATGCAATTTTAATATTGCAGCTTTTTTTTTTTTTTTTATTTTTTTTATAAAACCATATCACTATTAATTTCATTTCACCAAGGAAAGTCGCTCGTGGGCTTGATTTCCGAAGCCCACGCCAAAGCTATACACGAAATTGACTGGCGCAAATAATCTTTGAGATTGAAGAGCGCCATCTAAACGAAGAACCAACCAACCATCTAACTTCCTTATTCCTTGCCCGATTTTGTTCAAATTTTCACTGATATTTTTCAAATATCTTAAACTTTACAATAAAAGTAACTTAGTATGAAGGTTTTGGTTCCTTTTAATAAGCCCTATTTGTCTGAAATCAGTTTCCCCCTCTCGCGCAGTGCGGAAGCTTTGACGTTTCCTTAAATTATTAGAGAAAGAAGACGATTCGTTGTACCGTTCTCGACTCGTCTAAATGAAGTTTTCCCCTTCGGCGCAAAGCGCGGAATTTTTGGCGTTTCATCACAATATAGAGAAAGGAAGACGATTCGTCGTACCGTTGTTGACTCTTAAACCTTGTTTGAATTTAGTTTCCCCGAAAATTTTAAACCTCTGATTTCTATAGATGATATTATAGGAAAGTGAAACTTCGAGAAAATACAAGTATTGTAGTTGTAGTCACTCTCGAAGTCGTCACATCGGATAAAAAGTTACAGTTCGTAGGGAGAAAAAAAAAAAAAAAAAATCTGCGTCAAATATTCACATCTCCCCAAAAGGAAACGCAGACGTGAATATTTGACGTGAATTTTTTTCAGTAAGCTGAGCACCAGGAAGATAAACTGATTCTCTCTCTCCCAATCTGTTTCTCCCCTCTCTCTCTCGCCTCTTCACCTTTCTCCCAATCTGTCTCTCTCTCTCTCTCTTCTCTCTCCCACTCTCTCGCTCTCTTACTCTCTCTCTCTCTTTCCATCCTTCTCTCTCTCTCTCTCTCTCTCTCTCCCTCTCTCTCCTACTCCCCCCCCCCCCCCCCCACTGTCCATAAACATTGTTGGTATATAGAAAAACAGTGTAGTACGTATATATACGGGTATAATTTCGGGGGGGTGGGGGGGTGATGCCGCTTGACAAGCCATGACTTTGGAAATACAATTTGAAGAGACAGAAGAACCCACAGTGACAGTGGGCACATGTTTCTAAGAAGGGGCCTTATGCATGATTAGGAGGCAGAGGCCAGTAATTGTGCCGCCCCTAAAATCTGTCTAAATCTGTTCCGACAAAAACCTTACACCGAGGGAGAGGGAGAGGGATATATATAGAGAGAGAGAGAGAGAGAGAGAGAGAGAGAGAGAGAGAGAGAGAGAGAGAGAGAGGGTGAAGAGGAAAAGAAGTCCATCGAAAAAGAGATGGAAGGGACTGTCTTACAAAATGAATGTAGATGGAGCTGCAGCTGCAGAGAGGGAGAGAGAGAGAAAGATATATATATATATATATATATATATGGGGGTGGGGGGGGGGGAACAGTCACAGGAAGAAAGAGAAGAAGAAAGATACCTGGGGGTTCTGTAGCCAATTCATTTAAAAAAGAAACAAAAAGCCACATACATAATTATTATGTTATTATGTAGACCGGACGGCAAATGGATAACATTTTGAAAACTTCGTTGTGATATGGTGCTCAAGCACTATAATTAGGCCTGTATATACAAGAAATTCCTTGCTAAAATCAATGTACCACGTATAGCCGATGGTTATTCTTAGTTTTCAGGTGCAAGACCAATGGATATTTGGGGTCATTTAATCCAGGGGCTGATTAAGATTACAGGGGGTGTTTTTAATGTAAACTATATTTTTTGCCATAATTTAATTGAGGTTATTGGAAATATAGTCACACTTTGTTAAAACATCAGGAAAAACTTTGGGCATCCTATCTGGCACTTCATATTCAAGTCGTTCGTTAAGTCATGTGTAACTTTACGAACAGCTTTATGAAACACCCCATGGTCTATTACCGAGAATGACTTCCAACCATCCGATCCCTTGATCAGGGGCCATGCAGGTTGTGATGTCATTACTGCACCTAAAATCATTCATTCTTCTTCAATAAAGTACCGAAGTGCTAACGTCATATTCGCCCATCGTCCAGGTCACTGTTTCTAAACATCAGGGCCTGTGCATGAGGTTCACCGCGAAACCATTCAAGCAACGGGCTGCAGCAGGGCAAAATAAGTGTTTGGTACTGGTGGGATCATCACACCATTGTTTAGCCCCCCAAAACGGCCACCTAGACAACTTGGCCAGTATGACGTCACACTTCGTAACTCTGTTCATGGACGTCTGGTTCGATCACGGTTTTTCTCCAAGCGCCAAACGCCGGTTGATGTCATTGATCACAGGCAAGATGTCATTGACGGAATCGATGACGTAATGAGCCCCACTGTCGATGAGGATTTTGTAGGCTTTCTTCAAACGGTCATCGTGGATGCCCTTCTCCATATTGGATAGTTCCTCTTCGTTTGCACTCATGTAGTTACCCTGCAAGTTAATAATACGATACCGAATCAGGGGGGGGGGGGTTCAGGAAGATCAACTTATCTTGGACTTGAACTATGGCAGACCGTTCATGCCACTGTTTGCTTTCACCATTGTTGAAGAAAGAAAGTCTTAAATTTAATTTAATTTTACAATGAAAGTAACTTTTTTTCTTCAACACTGCACTATCAAAGAAGTTAAATTTTGTAGATTTGCGACGTCCCTTGAGAGACCGAAGGTGAGGGCAACTAGTGGCATGAACGGCCTGCCATATAGTTAAGTCCAACTTGAAGTCGATCTTAGTCTTTGTGAAACACTTCCCTGGATGGCCGATGGAACGGTTTCAAGCCTCGAATATTTTTAATTTGCCCGTTGCACAATCCATCCGATGAGGGCAAATAGCTCTTACGCTATTAACGCAATGTGTTTTGTTAATTTGGCAATACTGTTGTGTGCGATGTTGGCCTAACGTGGCTCGATCGAAACCGTTCTACCAACAATCCTGATGCGTTTAACCCATTGACTCTTGGAACCGAGTGGCTCCTATATTAAGCCAACTTAAACAATTCAGTATTCAACGGGTTAATATGCGTCAGGCAAATGACGCATCGTACCAACGGGTATAATACGGCGCATCAAGATTGCTGACGGAACGGTTTCTAGCCTCGAATACAGTTGCGTTATGCCGCCCGTTGAACACAAAGGACTGCGTCAGTGCTTAGGACCGTTTCAGACAAGCCCTGTGAGAATGCCATCGTGCAAAATGCGAGTGATGAAAAAACAGTGCAACCACTGCGTTGAATTACTACGAGCATCAAGTATGCATCATGTGTTTGATTGACCTCCAATGGAATTCTTGGAATTGAAGGATGAAACAAAATTATAGAAAGAGAAAAAAATAGAAATTAATCTAAATTAATAAAGGGCGGAAAGGGCGGACCTATATAAACGTACCGTTCTGGCTACGCCTACTGTCCAGCAACCAGCCGCAAGCCCCGCCGTGATTCCAGTTATTGTATCGTCAACCTGTCATGAAGAAAATGTTCTTGACTCTGTCACATAAAACGTTGCGATAAATTGCATCTCCCAACAAATCATCATCTCACTATAATGTCTCGGACATGCATCCCCTTCATAACGAAGTTACAATAAATACCAACTTACGATTAATGTTAGAGAGCATCGTAAAATAAATCAACTGCAGCAAGTTTGAAGATACAATCGGTTTTTACGACTGACTCTAACTTCTTATTCGTTTTTTCACCAGTCGTGGTTCCGGTGGGGGGATTCATTTTATTTCTATAATAGATACATTGTCAGTTCATTAAGATATATTAAGCATTATAGCTTAGAGATAGGGTAAGGATAAGGTTCGGATCAGCAGAATTCATCGCAATGGAAACAAAAACGACGAGGGTGGCGTGTGGAGAAGAGGGGGGGGGGGGGGTCACACATTAGGCGATTTTATTTTTAGTTAGGGCCTGTACCTTCACGACAGCTTGGACGGGGTGGACATTTAAACTCATCATGTTAAGGAAGATCAGGCTCGGAGTCGGTCTCGCTTCCTTGACCAGATCGGACGTGGCGACGAACTCGGGTTCGAATCCCAGTCGGGCAGCCTTCGGGGCGAGGTGGTCCATGATCTCGCTCGTAAAGCCTGTCGACGTCCCGATCCGGATTCCGTACTCCTCTCGGAGTTTTCGGATGGTGTCGGGGATGCCTTATAGGGTTAGATACGGAGAAAGAAAAAAATAAAGTAAGAAAGTGCATGATTCCCGTTTGGTGGTACGTGAGGGTGAAAGAGAGAGGGGAGGGAGGGAGGGAGAGATGGAGAGAGAGAGAGAGAGAGAGAGAAGGGGAAGAAAGACGGCGAAAAATAGACGAGACAGAAATAAAGAGGAGAATCACGAAGGGATATTGATAGTTGAAAAAGAAATATCTTCACAGAGGCAATAAACATAGGGGACAGGCGCGTACGCAGGGGGGGGGGGGGGTTGAACCCCCCCTTTGGTATTTTTTTATGTGTGTATTTTGGATGAAACCCCCCCCCCTTTGATTTTTTTTTATACCAATGGCTGACCTAAAAAAGTTGACCTTACCCCCCCCCCCCCCCCCCCCGCTTATTCAGCGAGTGGCTGAGTCGTTGCGAAATTTTCGACCCGATTTAAAAACTTTAACCCCCCCCCCCCCTTGCAAAAATCCTGCGTACGCGCCTGATAGGGGATACAGACTAGGGAAGAAAAAGTAAATAAAATACGTTGGTAAATGTTAGTAAAGATAACATTCAGAGGCAGAAACTATCGAGAGTTCAAACAGACTATTTCAAGGAATAAGAATAGCTAGTGGCCCCTCTCTTGATCCTCTAGAGTTGGTTTCCTGAAAAAGGGGGTCTTTTCTTTTGCTGCCCATTGCCTCAATTCCAATTATTTAAAGTTAAAATCGATGAGCCATATTCATGATATTTTGGTTACCTGTTATTATATCGGCATGGGATTCCAGAGCTTTGATCTGTTCGGGTAGGAAGTTACTATACATCCTATCTACGTCTTCTTTAGTAGGGGCTTTCCCGTTCTTCGCATTCCATGCGGCAGCTATACGATCCATCTGAACCATCTGAGAAATGTGCACCTGCAATGGTTGTGACGTCATAATAAACCTCATGAAATACGATTCCAGTAATATCTTTACAGTTTACATAATAGCATGATTATTATAATAGTTTTAATACACAACATGTCCCAGACGATACTGAATGTGCTTACAAAGTGATAATTATTGTTACCCTGGGTTTAGCCTAACTGCCTTTGGATGACGCATTCAAGGCCTTCCTCCCAGGTACCCAGTTAAACCTGGGTCGAGAGTAGCAAATGTAGATGAAAGTTTTGCCAAATTACATTAAGCCTATAAAGCCACGCCTGGTACTCGAATCGCTAACCACTCGGTCCACATACAGTACGGCAACGCAGAGTGTGATCGCTTTGGAAGTTTGTGAAGGTCTTTTGACTCTCATTCGAGAGGTTCTGAGTTCGATCCTTGATCAGTGTTTCTGCCCTTGCAGGGACACTTTTTTTAAAGACCAATATTAGGGACTTTTAGATTTGCGCGTCGACATAGTGGACTGCAACGTACGTGTGCCGTGCAATGTGGCGCCCTTCATGCAAGTCCTTTGCAATATGTTTTTGTTAAAGCCCTACGAAATGAATCAAGCTCACTCTTTTGTGAGCCCCCATCGGCGCTCTGACTTCGTCAACGAGCACGTCGATGCCCTCCTGAGCGAACACGTTGGTGAAGGCCTGGACGGGCGCGAAGACACCGCAGTCGACCACCGTGCCGGCCCAGTCGAAGATGACGAGTTTTACTTGTCCTCGATACTGGTGCACCATGCGGTATGACATCATCGGGTTCGACCAAACTGTACAAAGGAAAGGTTGGAAGAAAGAAATACTCCATGCAGTTACATCGACTGCCAGTATCAATTTGAAATTTAGTGTGAAATTTAAAATTTGCGCCGGTTGATATTTCGCTCAGTGCCCCGACCCCTTGATTAAAAACAAGGACGTTTCTGAGAGAGAGAGAGAGAGAGAGAGAGAGAGAGAGAGAGAGAGAGATGGGGATGAAAAGAAACAACATGGAAGAAAAATCGAATGGGAGACTGAGTGATAAACTTTCTCCCACATCGGTTACTTAATTTACTCAATGGTATTTAATCCAAAATTACAGGGCATTATATTCCCCCACCCCCCGTGATGTCCAGTGTCTCATTCTATATCGATGAAAGAGTATCTGAGAAGCGTCGTAACTATGTGGCACTCCGGAATCCGGGGGTGTTTCTTTTAAAATCCAAAGCAATTTTAGTTGATGAAACACCCCGGACACTTGCTGCAAGCCGCCGAAGATGGCGTTATCAACGAGCTCGTACACCCAGCCTTTCGCTGGGTGTAGAAATCCTTGAACAAGTGGGGGAGATTGAGGTGGTGGAGATCATTACACATTGAGTCGGCCAGATTCTGGACTACGTACAATATTTTCTTACAGGAGCTAGGGGGAAAAAATACTCGATCATGGGGAGATTATCATGATTTGATCATGTAGGTCCATGATTTGATCAAAACTATGAAAAAGTCAAATCAAATTGCCCACTTTGCCCCACCCTAATAATATTGAACAAGTCCTGAAAATGCGCTATGGTTTCCCTATATTCTTCTACAGTGTATCTTTGAATGACAAAAAAATGAAAAGGAAGAGAAGAAAAGAAAAAAAGAGAAAGCAATTTCTGACAAAAAGACAGACTGCATAGGCTATCGTATAAATATAATTGATTTGTATTTACTCGTCCTTTCCTTCTCATACCTTTTTATGCCTGCCTCGATGTTTTTTATTTGAAATATTTTGTGGGGTACAAATGGGTAGCATAAAACATTCAAATATGATAACATGGACTTTTGGAAACCCTCCAACTCATTCCAAAAAAAAAATCGGGTTATTAATGTTATGAATCAATGTTCTGCTTGGCCTTATATACTTATGTCCTACTCTCTTTTGTGACACCTTTGTAGTGTAGTGTCGTCATCATCATGCGACGCCCGCAGCCGAGTTGGAGTATATACACTTTTAGAGTTAAATGCCACTCGCTCTCAATTCTATCCGACCTTCTAAGTTAAGAATAGAAGAATAAAACCCTATTACATGATCCGAGCTGATCGACCAGAAATAGGTGTTGGCATACGTATAACCGGATATCAGTCAAACAACCATTTAGTGTTCACATTATACTTTGCCCATTAGCTTCCTCGCTATACATCAAACATGAACCCTTTCTGTAGAAAATTACAATATAATAATATTATAGCAGCACAGTTAACGATCTCTCCCATGCAGACATTCATTCAGCTTGTATGAAAACGAACGAAGAAAATAATGAATAGATAGATAACAATACAAGTATAGGCGCACGGTAAAACCGTATATATTACACTTTGACCACTCGCTTACTCGCTACACAAACAAAACCTAGTATCAATAATGTTAGCAGCACATTCGCAATTAATGATCTCTCACCCGACATTCAATTGTCTTGTATGAAAAATACGAGTTTATAAAAACGTACCTTCTGTGGAATTAATAGACGAGGCCATGCTTTAAAAACAAAATGGTAGACAATAAGTCACCACGCAGATTGAAAATACACCAGAGTTCTGCTTGCTATAGCTGTTAATCTGCGGAACCTAAGACTTCAAACTACAACCTTAATCTATAATCTGTGTCATCTAAGAGTCACATGACTGTAATTAAATTGTTCTGTTTTCCTCCCCTGTGTTATCTACAGTAAATTTGTGTTTGATCTTTATATTTTTTTCTCAATCCCTATATAGGTCCCTGGATGACCCGGAATAATGGGCGTGGTTTCTAGCGATAATGTTTACAAGCCTAGCCTCAACCCAGACTGACAATATTATTATATAAAATAAACGCCCCCTGTTTGCCCTCCCATGAGTTGGGGATCGAGGGAGATCACTAGCAAGAATTTCTCTCAAACTCCCTCTTGGGTTGTTGTTTATTTATTTTTCTCTTATCCTCAAGCGAGGTGTTTATTTTCATAATTTCAATACATATTTACATTCAATGAATGAGTGAAACATAACATAGGCTAAAAATTAAAGTATATTCAACGATTCTTCCTACTCTAGGTTGTTGTTTATACAAGGAGGTCTCCTTAGTTTATCGAAAGTATGTTTGGCGGTCACCTACCAGAACGATCCACCATAAGGGCGTTGTAGGATTGTTTGGGTGAATGGGCCACGGAACCGGGGGGGGGGGGGGGCTACCTTTTCCAGTTTATAACACATTTTGTTTATACGATAATTTGGATTACGGATGCATGGCTTCAGTATATACAATTTGGAACATTTCTCCCTCGGTCGCTCCGCTCACTCGCACATCAAACAATTGCAGCCGTCACAGCATTACTAGTTTTGTGATTCCTTATGTACGATCAATACACAGGCACAGGTTTTACTTCGTGAAATACAACTTGCAGGGCCCGCCACTCTACACAATGTAGACATCGCCAATAGTAACGATTTAAAGGTAGGCCTATTAATATGTCCCATTTGCAGGCCACAAATGAATCGAAAAGGTTTAATTCCAACGGCATTTTGAAAGACAATACTAAATAATTTAGAACTTCCCTTATAATGAAAGGGCTTAAAAATAGCTTTTTGTCGGAATTACGACCAATAAATTAGTCTGACGGTTTACTCGCTATACGTTCGTCTATGGTCGCTACAATTATGTTCCCTTAAAGTTATAGACCAGATTTTAAAACGCCCCCCCCCCCCCCCACTGGGAAAAAACGTGTAAAAACACGCCAATTTTACTTTTTTTTTTTTTTTAAATTGGGCCTCCCCCTGGAGCTCAATGGGGGGGGGGGGGGGGGGGGGTGCGATTTTTCAATTTTCGAGGGGCAAAAAAAAAAAAAAAAAAAAAAAAAAAAAGGCGGTGCTCACTACTCCACCCCCCCCCCCCCCCCCCCCCCCCCCCACTGAGCGAAATATTGGCCGGCACGATTTTCAAATTTGGGCCTCCCCCTAAGAAATCCTGGATCCGCGCCTGCGCCCCCCCCCCACCCTCAACAAAGGATATGGGAGTTCTTATTACCAATCATGTGAAAGAATATGTTTTGACTAATTCGTGCAGATACAAATTTTGCCCGCGTCTTGCCCTCCCCTCCCCTCAAAAAAAGAAAAACTCTGGTCTTGTATGCAACTGCAGCCTAGTCGGAGCTCCCTGCCCCTGCGCCCGAAAATTTCGACCAGATCTAATTGCGCCCTCCTGTCTCACTTAGCCTACAAATGAACTGTAAATCAGGCTTCGACTCAGGAGGCCGGCCTTGCCCCACCCCCCCCCCCCGCCAAAAAAGAGAAAGGGAAAGGGAAAGAAGAGGAAGAAGACAAAAAGGGGGTAAAAGAAGGAGATCGGGGAGGGGGGCCGAAAAGGCCTTACTTCCCAGGCTGTTGCCTCCCCCCTCCCCCATCAAAAAATAAGAGAGAAAGGAAGGAAAAGGAAAATAGGAGATGGGAAGAAAAAGAGAGGAAGAAAAATAGAAAAGAAGGGGGATATCAGTTGCAATATTCCCACCAACAAGTTATGGATCGGGGGCGGGGCGGGGGGGGGGGGAGGCCCTTGTGCCCCCCACCCCCGCCCCGCCAAAAAAGAGAGAAGGAAGGGAAAACGAGAGCTAAAACGGAATTTCGGACCCAGTTGAAATGCAATAATGGCCTACTTCCACGTCAATCAAAATTATTTTTGGGGGTAGATAGAATGGACAATTTGATATCTTTTTGCTGTTATCGAGTCATGGATAAAAATGTTACAAGCCTTTGAACGAAGTTAGTCGATTGTGACAGCTCGGCCCCTACACAAATCTCCGTACAAAGATGGCTCGAATTACTGAGCCGAAACCGTCCATCCTATCTAGACTGAATAATCTCTATTTAAAAATGATATCTTATTCATTCAATGGTTTTGATTGATATATTTATGAGCATTATGAATCCTTTATCATTATCAACAGATAATTTACGTCTTTTACGACTACTTTTGGTGTTTAGCGGATCGACCTTTCTGGTGCGCGCGTCGAGAAAGATATTTGTTTTTTGTAAGGACGAGTTTGTTAAAACCAGTGCATGACAAACAGGGAAGTTAGCTCTTGAATATCCGCTCAACCATAATCATTATGTCAGAGGAAAAGCGAATGAAAATGGCGTCTTCACTAGAACAGCTGAAAACATTGACCACTGTGGTCTGTGATACTGGTGATTTTGAGGGTAAGTTGATTTTTCAGCAAGATTATTAGATTCGGTGACTACTAACATAGTTCAGCACGTTGATTTTCGAACGCCATCTTGTTGTAGGTGCTTGAAGAAGCAAACGAAGAAACATCGGAGAGGTGATGGTGCACTCCGCCGCATCTTCGGCGTCGATGCTTGCATGTCCCGCACGGAGCTGAGTCGATAGTGACTGCGCTCGGTCTATCATGACATTGCAGAAATTCAGCCGCGGTAATATGTTTTTGTTTTAAGTTTGTATTTATTGTCCATTTACACAATTTCATGGTGTATTATCTTATTGGCGCTTGTTTAGTAAGGTATCCAAAATTTGGCAATCCTAGATCTATACTTTAGTGTGTTTTATTATTTTGGGTTTCTAACTTCAGTTTAACCCTTAACCTAACCCTAAACCTAACCCTATACCTAAACCTAAACCTAACCCTAACCCTAACCCTAACCCTAACCCTACCCTAACCCTAACCCTACCCTAACCCTAACCCTAACCTAGACCGAAAGCTTCAGTCTCTCTAATCGTCGGTTGTTCCACTGAGACTACGTCTGGCTCCACTAGACCTCCGATTATAGAGACTGAAGTCTGGGGACCTCTTTCTGTGAGGCACTGTACGGAACAAATGGTTCGGTTCGACCGGACCGCCATGAATGAGATATGCAACGAGATTATCACTCTTTACATCCTCATACATGCTGCAATATGACAATAATTTAGAGTCTAATTAAAAATAACATATATATAGCTTATTTGACTTACGATAGCTTGCTCATTTAGATCCTAAATTAATGATTAATCCGAGAAAGTCTCGTCGTCAACATTATCCGTCTTGGTTTTAGTTGATGAATATTCATTTTTTCTTTTCGAACGTCCAATAGCTACCGTAGCTACGTACGAGTCGGCCCAGCTTGACCAACGAACTCCCACGAAACGAGTGCTCTGATTGGCCATTTGGCTATGTTTTGGTAGGTGGACCCGGAAATATATCGGCCGCCGGGTAATATTTCGAATGCATGAACGTACCGTTTCACAGTTCGGAAATACAAATTGGATAATTCATATAAGTAAGTCCGTAAATTATACATATAATATTAAGTTATCAAATTTTGATAACTGTAATTAGGACAAATGACATACCGACCTAATTTACATCTGATTTAGAAATCAGAAAATTAGATCTAAATAAAGAAAATCGGGGAGAAATTTTTTTGACACAAAAAGCTGCCATTGTTGGCTATAGCTACCCCCGCGGTACGAGATCTCTGGGTTGCCATCTGTATTGGGGAATGACAACAAATGTCAGTTTTATTAAAGAAATGACCCAAATCAGATGGTTATTGCTGTCTAACCCTAACCCTACCCTAACCCTAACCCTAACCCTATGCTATGCACGAAGAGCTGTTATTAACTGAAGTTAGAAACCCAAAATAATAAAACACACTAAAGTATAGGATTGCCAAATTTTGGATACCTTACTAAACAAGCGCCATCTTATTAATGGATACACAAATATTTAACATTATACAAATAACGCACGTCCTGACCCTGAGTGCAATAGCGGTGAATGCAGTACACGCGAGGTTTCTTTAGATTGGTGCCGCTCTGTGAACGAGCCGCTTGCGGCGAGTTTACAGTGCGCACCATCTGAAGAAACCGAGCGTACACTGCATTTACGTTTCGCACAACAGGGTCAAGTGCGTTATTTGTTTTATAAAATAGCGACACAAATAGCAACAAACGAAACTTTAGATCTTAAGTTAGAGTCTACGACGAGAGTTCGATCTAGATCTAGAGTTATTGGTTCTAGACTAAGACCTTGCAGGCTTACCAAAAAGTCAATGGGATTCATTGCCTTGATTAAAAATAAAATCCATACAGTGGGTCTAGAGACGAGTTTACATCAGACAGCTGAAATTCCTGGCTTCATTATAAAATCCAAAAGTCAAAACAGGCCTGAATCCAAGGCAAAAGTAAAATAAAAATTTGCTTTTTAATAATACCCCGCTCTAGCTAGCTAGCTAGAGCTAAGCTACGCGTACGTTGCGCTGGGGATCATGGTGGAGCGTACAATATTAGCTACGCGTAGCCTACAATAATTGCAATGCACTCGAGGGAGCGCGTACTACACGTACGCGCGCACTGGATCTCCATGGTCACGCGTACGCGCCGTGCAATATAACTTTTTGTTGCGCTTTTTCTGCACTCATTTCTGCAAAATCGTGCTTGCATCAAAAATTTGTCAATGCCATGTGACGCGTATTGACCAATCATGATGCTTAAAATACTAGAGCCATTTTATAATTATTTTTATTTAGATACAAAAAGACAAATTCAATAAAATAATTTTTCAGTTGACAAAAACCCATACAATTAATTATGAAACAGAGATAATAGATTGTCTAGATCAAGAGTCTATAATATAGGGGCAAGTCATGCATCGAAAATAGTACATGTGAATGCTAAGTAGTGTGTAATTAAAGACAATTAATTTTTACAGGTATGAATAATGTGTATTGTCGATAGAGTAAAGGAGCCGGTAATCGGCCAGCTCCAGTTTTCGGCCAATTGGTTGGATGCAAGGTAAAATCACTCTAAAATACATCGCATAATAGCATAACACATATCCCACACATACCATACCATGCCAGTGTCACTGAAGAACCACATTTGCAATGAAAAATATATCCTAAAATATCACATTTTAGCGATGTAATCGGCGGTCCCGCTACCCGAATCTGAAAAATTGAGTATCTTACGCGTGTCTGTAAGAAATATGGGTACCATAAAATGAGCTTTATTTCAAGTATTTTTCAGATTTAGAGCCCGATTTTGTGCTAGTCGCAAGCTCAAAAGTATCTCATCGCATGTATTAAATCAATGCAGCCGCACACCGCAACGCACACACGATATCTCTGTCTAATTCAGATTCCAATATCCGATCACCACAGTACTAGTTTTCGGCCTGGCAAGCTCCGGGGAGCTCCGGCGTGGGATATCTGCTCCGCCCGCTAGTGCTATAGATCAGCGCGGAAACGCACGGCGCGTGCGCGCGCTTCCTATTGACTTTGTACATGCGGCCGAAAACTGGTACGCTATGCCGAAAACTGACTTCGAAACAGTGAAAAATTGAAATGAATATTGTCATGGCAATTAGTGATTTTTTTCTGGGATTCTTGTTTTTTAAAAATAATAATAATATTTGCTTCATGATTTGAACAAAAAATGATAATAAATAGGATGTAAAGGGTCCTAAAAATAGGATTTTGTCTTAAGTGGCCGAAAATGGGCTCCTTTACTCTACATAACATTATTCATACCTGTAAATACTATTGACTTTGTGATTATGAATATCATTAGGAGGCGAGTTGGCTCAGTCGGTAAAGCGTCTGCCTGTCGAACCAAAGATCCCGGGTTCGACTCCCACCCAGGTGGATGACTGAAGTCTGCGTTGTGTGTGTGTTAACGTGCCCCTTCCCTTGTTCATAGACGCAGTTTATGTCAAGTGGAAAACACTACGTCCCTCGGATAGGACATTAAATGGAGGCCCTGTGTACAGGAGAGTCACCACCCTTGCACGTTAGGAACCCAGTGCACTATTCGTATAAGGGAAACCACGGTGTAATGGTCCACCTGCACACCCCGATCAGGCCGAATATACGGCATCTGCAAGAATCTTCAGTATTGAAAGAGGCAGATTATCTTGAAGAAGAAGAAGGTCTAGATCTAGACCTATTAATTTATTATTAGGGTCTAGAGTCTATATATATTTATTGAATATTGTGATATATTATTTATCATTTTTCCTAGTGTTATTATTATCGACATCATTATATTATCTACAGTATATTCAGCATCAAGTCAATTGCTTTGGTAACAATAATATTTTGTTGTTGAGGTTTTTATGGGCGAGCGCTAGAATCGCTTGTTGATGGAAACCACTTCCCCATCCCTCCATCAATCTCACCATGCCAGCTATCCAACAATTTACAACATTAAAAAATGAATTAAGGGACCAACATAAGATCATTAAAGATAAACTTGAGTTCTGGTAAAAAAAGAAAATGAATTCTCACAGAATCTAACGAAACTTACACTGAATGTTCAAGATTACAAATAAATGTCATGTGCCAAACAATTTTGGAAGAAAATGTATACTGGCTGAGAAATAAGCATAGAAAGATAATAAAATCAGGGTAGTACTAGCCCCGACACCATGTGTGTTGTCCCATATACATCTTTCTGTGTAAGTGATTGTTACTTTACCAAGACTCTGCCAAATTTATGATGATTTTGATGACTCCAGAACCTTGCATTACACACCATTACTTACATGCTACATGTATGATCAACTTTTCTGATCCATTCCACACCTTTTCTTTCACAATGCAATCGCATTACCAGAACTCAAGTTTATCTTTAATCCGTTGTACAGTTCCTTCCTGTACATTGCATTGCACTGATTCCCTGCACTTCAGACCATCGTCAACGATTAGTACCACAATATGTGTACATGTATGTGAACTATTTCCATTTCCTCACCATTTATTCTCACCTTACTTGGTTTGACTCATTTGTTGTTTCTAAAGTGAAATATCATTTCTTTTGTTTTGACTTGAAGAGATCAAGAAAGTTGTCATTACACCAAACGGTAAACCAGTTTAAATAATCAACATAATTTTACATTCGTTGATTAAATGTACAATAACAGTGTCATCGGCATATTTAAGAATAGAGACATTTTGTGAAAGGTAACGGCAGTCTTTTGTGTAGAAGACAAAGAGGATGGTAGAGAGCACAAAACCGTGAGGTGAGCCTGTATTGGTTGATTTGGGCTCACTTACTGTTACGGCATTCTGCACGTGGACGTCCTGAATTTGATTCTTTAGAAAGTTGGTTATGTAGTATTAAAGGTATTCAATTTGATGACATCATCTGTGGACAACTCTCCATGACAATGTATGACAATGACAATGTACTCCCCCGAAAG